TAGCGCTGGTGCCTATTCAATGGTTTAGTCAAGGTTCTTCTGCTTCAAGTAGATGAGTACGTACGGGTGCTAGCGCGGGTGCTGGTAGAGACAGTGGAGGCAGCGGTGGAGTTAGCAGCGGAAGAGGCCGAGCTGCTCTCGGCGGAGGCGGAAGAGGCAGAGGCGGAGGAGGTGATGGTGGAAGCAGCGACGGTGGTGGTGATGGTAGCGGAAGCGGAGGCGGAGGCAGAGGCAGAAGCCGAGGAGACGGAGGCGGAAGCAGTGACGGAGGTGGTCAAGGTGAACTGCTCAGAGTAGTTGGGAGTGCCAGTAGAGTCTGAGATCTCGATGGCGTACTGGTCGCTGGGGAGGGTGGAGGAAGGAGTCCAGGAGAAGGAGGTACCACTCTGGCCAGCTGGAATAGAAGTCAGTATCAGAAGACATCTCACCAGGACTCGAGATGTACTCACTGGCGATGGTGGAGACGGTCTTGAGGTCGGTGCTGGGGCCGTTCTTCAGAGTGAGAGTAACGGGGCCAGAGGCATCAGACCAGGTGATCTCGAAGGCCTGACCAGCCTGGACGTTGAAGTTGGTGTTGGTAAGCTGAACAGCCTGGGCCAGGGCAGCGAAGCCGGCGACGAGGACAGAGGTGAAGCTCTTCATTGTGACGGATTGGGTTGTTTTTCGAAAATTAAGTGATGAACGAGTGTAGGAGTATTAGGTATCGAACTACTGTAATTTAGCAAAAAAGGTCAACAACGAATGTCGGGAATAGGCTCGTGAGGAAACGGAAGGGAGAGAAACCGGCAACGATGGGAGAGGGGGACAGCTGGGTAGAAAAAGGCTTCCTCGTCTCGCGCAGGCGCGAAATTAGGCGAAGTCGAATCAGGGGTAGAGCATGGAAGGGGGGGGGGGGCGTGTGCGGGTTTGGCGGAGAGGCAGGCAGGCATGCGACTTACATCAACACCTAGACGGGGCTTTTCCTATAATTACTCGCACGCGTTACTGTTGCTGGGGGTGTGCGGATGGATGGTTGGCTTTTTGGAGAAAGTAGCACCAGAAGATCAGCAATTTGAATTCTGGGAGTGGTGTGGTTGTGATTCTTGATTTTCTTGTGCGTAGAGTGTTGGAGCCTTGAAGGGACTTATTTGTAGTATGGACCGGGCAAGTTTGTTTGGATTGAGATGGAATGGATGAAGTGTCAGGTGGGAAAAGATGGGCGCACTTGAGCTTAAGAAGAGGCAGGAAGTGTTGAGGTTGAAACAGACAGGTGCGCGATCGAGCCTTCCTCTTTGCTTTCTTCCAAAGTAGGTACTCATGGCGACATCATAACAAGCACCCAACGCAGCAACAGCCGGGGACGAACAGCAACCGCACACACCTTGAGGCTTCTCGAGGGCGCCGCGGACGGCATCACGGCTCCCACTGGGTGCGCGGACTTACAAGTACATACCTACCTTACCTTACCTTACCTTAGAGTACCTTAGGTAGGTACCTCACCTTGGTCCTCACACTGAGGTGGTGAGGTAAGCGTCTTAAGGGTGGCATGGCACCTTAGCACCTGAGGAAGTCGCAGGCTATTCGTCGCAAATGAGAAAAGGAAGCAACGACGACGACGAGCGGGGCGCGGGTACCTTCCCACCTCTTCCAGCAGCCCTGGCAACAGGAGTGGCACTAATTCCCAAATTGGACTAACGTGGAAAATTCTTGGAGGGTACCCCTGTCGCAGAGAGGAACCTGGCGAGCCCCAGGAGAAGCGCTAACGAAGACCAAGCTTCAGGTTCTTGTATTTTGGTTGTTTTTGGTACTGGCAGACGTCCGGCCTGACTTCTTTCTGCTTCTCCCAGTGGCCTCCTCTTCTGCCGTAGAATGCCACGACTGCGTGCAGCAGCTTCAGCTTACTAGTGTTGGCGTTCCAGGTTAGCTGCGAATTTTACCTTTGCTCACTCACCAGACTTCCGCACGCCGTCGTCTGGTACCTTATATTCAACCTAAGGCAGGTAAGGTAGGTAGCAACTCTAAGACGACCGTATGGTATCTTACACTACTTAGGCAGATTTCCTCCAAGCTTTATTCCAAGGCGATGTACGGAGTATGATTTCTCAACCACGTTCAACCACTGGACAGCCCCCCGATGCAGCCGTCAAATCCCCTGGTACTCCTAGCTTGTGTCCCCGGAGTCGCCCAAGGCTCCTTATTGGGCCCTTTTGGCCGGGGCGATGGGAGGATCACGACCAGCTCGGGCAACAGCAGGGAACTTGGAAGAGGTCTGGGCCTCTGGGCCTCTGTCCTGGGTACCAGGACAGTTACTGGCGTCAATTTGAACAATGCGCCCAGCAATGGCACAATCTTCCACATGCCATGCCATCTCGCTTCCCTGCTTTCCAGCCCACAGCAGGTGACACCACGTTGGAACCCGCTGGAACGGCCCAAGACGCGAAGAGACCCCAAAAACCTCTCGGCCGGTCACTGACTCTCTCACCACCGGATGGATACATACAGATCACACTACCTCTCACAGTACATCCCGACAAGCGGTGGGTACATTCGTTCTAGTCCGGTAATGGGGAAAGGTTCCTGTCGATCTGGGTCTCTGGAGGCGCAGCAAGGGAGAGTGGTTGGTACCTAGAGACTTCTCCATCTCGCACATTTCCAACGGCCGCCCTCCTCCGAAGCCTCTTCTTCGCAATGGACTGATTCGCAGTGGACAGCGGCAAGGGCTCTTTTCGCCCCCCATGGGAATGTGCGAATGCTTCTGCCGCTACCGCTGACGCCCGGCTCAGCCTGGAATTGCGTGCGCAACCAACAGCGTCCATCCCTCCACCCTCCCTTCCAGCTCGTGTTCCATTTCTCCATGGCAAAACTTTACTTTCCGCGGACCAGTCACGAGCCGCCTGCGATCCCATCATCGATCCGAGTTGGCAATGACAGCTCAAGGCTCCCCCACCACACTATTGGAGGTGACGACGCCTACGGATGCTGGATGCTCGTGAAGGTGGCTTTTACGAGTGGTATACCCGTCGAGTAAATCTGTGCAGAATGCTCTGTGCTTGTGCATTTAGAAGACTCGAAAATAGCATCGGCACTTGAACGCCTAGCCTTGATGTGTTGGGACACTTACGTCGTCAATCGTCCGAGATCTGTGCTTCATCTGCAGGGTGACATGCTTGTACGTTCCGTTCCTCTCAGTGTTGTGTTTGGATGGGAGCACCGACATAACTGACGCGTGAGACAGCAGATGAGCTGCTGCTGACATACTCAAGCGTGTCAAGTTCCTTTTCCTTTGGTTCACCAAGACACTACTCTGAAATTCAAGCAACACTGGTGTTCGTACCGTTTCGCAAGGACAGTCAGACGCACATCAATCAGGAATGGCACAATCCCCTAATACTGACCAGGACAGCCTAGAAGAAGGGGTGGCAGGCTACGGATCGCCTGATGAGGATCTACCGAGGGCCTCTGGGGAAAAGATTTCACTCGCGCCTTCACCCGCTTGCTCCGTGCCGCAAGTTGCCATCCCGCCCCATCGGCTCAAACTGCAAAGTCTCGCGAAGGAGCCGAGCATGCACATATTGCATATATTACCGTCCCATTTGTCGACGCGCCTCGCTGAGTCGCTGCATCCCAACATATCATCGCGCCAAAGCGGCAATCTCGCTCTCTTTCGGCTAACCGGGGAGCCTCCTCAGAACGATGAATAAGATGCAACGACGTCAGGCTCGCCGCTCGCTTGTGCCAATGGCGTTTTCCAGTTCCCAGTTCCCACCGAGTCCAATTTCCAATGCACACCCCGTTGGGCCCCGTTGTGGAGACCAACATTGGCCAAATCTCCCCAGCACACGCTACTTCACGGCTTGCACGGTACCTGCATTCTGCGCAGTGGTCCTTGCTTCTGGCCTCCAATCGACGGACTCGGACACTAACAGCTCTCGCCTGACGGAACTGACCCAGGACTTTCACTGGATCCCTGTCCATGCGTACTGTGTATGCGCCCTTTAGAGAGGCTCCACGGCCGACAACGGGAAGCCTGCAGCATCGACGGGGCATCGCCTGGCTCTGACTATGTCGTCCGAACCCGTCAGCAAGTTTGCCAGTATCCAAGTCGTTTATTTACCACGAAATGCAGCTCCGACAGAGCCATCAGCCCAAACCGTCGGATACGGCAGCTCGCTGGAACCGGCAGCCTCTTTACCTCAACAGGGAATACATGCTAGGGTCGCACCGTCGCTCTCTCCGTGATAGGCTTGGCTCTCTCCATGCTTTGCATATTATCCACCCAAGCCACTTACTCCGTACTTGGATCTCGCAGTAGGTATCTCAGTCCTCAACCAGCCATGCGATGACACTTCATGGCCATGCTATGCTTAGGTCTTGGCTAAAATGGACCAAGCCTGCTGGCTCAGGGGGCGTTTCACTCTGACACCCGACTGGAATGGAAAAGCACCAGAGCCACGGAGTTTTCCTCGGCTCGACTCAGATGACGTAAGTATAACTCTCTGAAGGTGATGACGGGAATGCCGGCTTAGCAGCCATCAGTTCAGTTCAATCCAAGCATGCCGTTTCAGCTTATAGCTCAGTGAAGACATTAAAGTCAGATTGAGGCTATGAATGTTCAACAACGCCACAGCCGCGTGCGTCAATCAATAGAACAAATACGTCTCGTTCGCGGGAAACGCTCACCAAGTCGTCAGTCTCGTAGCTTGACCGAAGAAACAGTCTCCCACGAGAAGTTACAGGCACTTGGATGTTGAGAACCATTCCGCTGGCTGCATTGTCATGGTATCTTGAGTTCCAAAAGACTTGTAAACTCACATCAATGTGACAGAGTGTTATCTTACATTGGCGCAAAGCCCCCCGTGCTTAGGAAAAGACATCACTCGGCAAACTCACGGCCATTGCCCAACATGTATGCACATGTGCTGTTGCGCCGGTCTACGAATGGCATGATTGGCCGTGGTGGTGGCGAACTCACGAGAGAGGCCTCCTCTCCATATGGTATGTAGCTTTGACTGGCATGATGTCTATTCAGGAGGCGAGCCCAGAGTGCATCGAACGACACCTCGCCGAACACCCTCGGCCTCCTCCCTGACTTGAGTCACCGTTGCTCCTCTTCCCCTAGCCTTGTCCACGAAATCATCGAGTGAACCTCCAACGCCAAAGTAAAGCCGTTTCGCTCCAACCAGCGCCTGCGACTGGCAGTTGCTACGTTGGCTCTGTTCTCTGTTGAGAATGGCAAGGACCATCTCGTTAAAAGCGTCCAGTGCGAAGGGCGAGTAGATGGTTTCCGCTCCAATAAGAAGGGTATCGAAACTGCTGGACCCGTCCAGCTTGAACTGAGTCTCATATAGGAGATCAATAAGCTCCACTGACCAACCACCAGAAATGAAATTGAGAGAGATTTGGGAAGACGTCAGGAACTCCTTGAATTGCTGCAAGACCTCGGGTGTGAGTTCGAGCTCGTCTCCCATCGCGAAGGCCTCCTCCAGGGCGGGGTTCTGGTCTCTGCGTTCCAGAGCCCAGGCGAGGATAAAGTTTGGCAACGTGACCAACTGCAAGACTGTCGGGTTGTAGTCGGCCAGGGTCAGCAAAAGTGGCGATCTCGGCGCTGGGTTCCTCATGGTCCATTGCAAAAGAGCCAGCGAAGGGAGCGCTGTGCCGCATCCAAGCTGCGCATAGGTGCGTTAGCTTTCGGTTCGCCACTTGAGCCAGCAGTACATAAAGAATAAAAAATAAGATAATAAAAAAAGACGCGCGTCAGGTGTTCAGATGCTCGTACCTCGATCACTCGGAGAGGCCGTTGCTTGAGCAGGTCCAAGTATTGGCCACTGGCGAGAACCTTGACGAGGTCCACGCTGCTCTCCCAGCTCTTAAAACCGCCCTCGTAGACACCCGTCTTGACATCGTGGCTGCCGAGTCCTTCGGCATCAGCACCATCCCCGGCGGCCTCGTCCTCGGCCATGAGCTGCACTCGCACGTCCCAGAGCTCACGACGGGGGATCTTGATGAGGCTACCGTCGTCCAGGGTGACGTCCAGGGTGCCGAAAGCGACCTTTGAGGGCAGCTTGGAGAGCATGTCCTGCAGGTCGTGGGCGGTGGGCGGCAGCTGGGGTTTGCCAGGGACCGGAAAGGCGCTGGCTGCTGCAGCGGACTGCGGGGTCTCGGGCTCCGGGGCGGGCGCGGAGGCCTCGGTGGCCGGGACGGGGACGGAGTTGTCCTCTATGTCATCGCCGCCGAATCCGAAGGAGAATGATGCCATGTTTTTTCTTTGAGGGTGGGAAGTGCCGCGTGGGTTTGCAGGGTTTTTGTACGTACCTTTCTACAGAAGATGAGTGAGTTGAGTAAGTACACAAGAAAGAGACTATGAAATTGTGGGGGCGGGTTCACTCACACACGCACACAAAACGAAACGCAGTCTCTTATTGGAACCTCACCGAGGCAAGCTACCTTGTCGGGCGTGTTTGTCGAATCCGAAAACCAACGACAACGGATATCTCTGGCCACTTAAATGACTTGGTGGCTTACAGATGTGAGAGATCTTTTGGTGCAATGGGTCGATTAAGCTTGAATCAAGCTTGCGTTGCGTCTGTGGCATAAGGTGGTGTAGTTATGAAGTCAACTGTTCCAATTGGGCTCACAACCAGTCCAAGGTTGGCTTCAAACCGTTGCCACCAGCGAAATTTCGGCCATAACATAACGTCTTCCTGTTGCTCGCGTATCCAAGGCACCTATAGAGTTGCCAGTTGGCCGAGTTCCTCATCAAGCCAATCGTCATCGGTGGCCAAGACTGGGTATGCTTGCTTTTTGTTTGCCAGAAGCTCTTCCCTATCGGCGCTTTATCATTCGAAAACTCTTCTAATTCTGCACCAACGCCGCCCGCCGCATGTTTGGGCACTTCCTTGGTCGCAAAGAGACCAATAACCAACAACTTCTCAGAGAGGCTTCATGCAGTGCGGCGACCAGGGAGGAGCCATCACAACTGAGCGATTGTCTCATATCTATGTACCTGTACAGAGCCACGGAGCCTCCCCTTCGGCCTTCGGATCTCGTGCTTACATCCTGAACCCCCAGCCCCAACACCCATGCCCTGCTGGCTGCTGGCTGCTGGCTGCTGGCTGCTGCGAAGGCGAGGACGAAAGCGAAAAGCTGCAACTTTAATAGGCTGACTGGCGTTCGGATAAATGATCCGCAGCTGAGCCTATTCCTCCCACGTCTCTGACCGCGTCTCTCGCGTATGGTCTGCTCTACTCAATGAGCTCGCTCTTCACATTTGGTAGATAAAAAAAGCCGCAAGCTGAAGAGCCAGCGGCCATTCATGGCACCATGAGCCCATGACGAACCTGCAAGCCGTGGCCGCAGTGGTTCATGGGCTCAGCTGCAGATGCCTGCCAGACAGACACGCATCTCCGCATCTTAGAGACCCGGAGGATCTGGTGCATCTCGAGCTTTGTGCTCCTTCAAACGAGATCTCGTGTCTCAGTGGTCAGCAAACGCGCGAGGATGCCGCCCCCCTCCCGTCATCCCACCATCTCTACCATGCGGCGCCGAACATGCCCACGGCCGATTGACGATGGACCCGGCACTCGCGATTCCTTCTCTCGGCGATCCACTCCACAGGGCATCACATATCCCCGTTCTTCGGTCCTTTGTGAGCTGGGATGTCGTCAAGGGATAATGAACCTGACAGAACGGTCGGCAGCCAAAGCATCCTCCATCTCAACCTCAAGACCGCATTGTCTTTCGCCTCCAGGAGACGGCCGGGGTCAGACCCCTGCAATGACAGCTTCTCCATCTGTAGATACGCCCCGGTTTGCGCTTCATATCGCCCCCCGTCCGCGGCACTCACCACGATCCCGCTCCGGCACCAAGCCTCCATCCTCCAGTGCGGCAAGAGTCGTGATTCGCCACTCACCGTACTTGGATCCATGCCATGAGCACCCCTCAGCCCGGTTCTCCCCTTCTCCCGTTGTGGTTGGATGGTTTACGACCTGGTCCAGCCCGGGACCCTTTTCTTGCTAATCGGACCTTGCTTGACCGCAACGAGCTAGCAGACGTATAGACAAACCATTTTGTTCAATTCTTCTGCCCATGGGCCAGCCTTGTTCCAAAGTCGTTTGGATACGTGCAGCCACACCATGTGCCGTTGCACCAGCCAAGATTGATAAACTGCCCGTCGTAAATCGACCAACAATGATGCCTGGTGCAGACCCCTCCACGCTCCTACAACATGAACCCCCAATTGAGAGGATCCATACCCATTGGCACCTCTCTATCCGTAGAGTCCACCGTTTTGTTTCATGTGAGCTGTCTCTTTTCATCGTCAAAGTCTACGTAGGTAGGTATGCCTCTTGACAAGAAAGCTGTGTTGCGTCAGCTCGTAGCTCCCGCACTAAGGTGGTGCGGTTTTTGGTGTTAGTCGCGGAGGCATGGTAGACTTCACCTCGGACTCTGCTGCCTGTCACTAACAGGGACAACGTCTTTTGGTTCCCGCGCCAGCGGATTTACTCGTTGCTTCTTCCTCTCTGACCCTTTCCAGGTTGTCTCATCCCATTCTTCCATGGTCAAGGCTCCTTTGCAATTATTGGCTAGTCTCCGTGACAGGCCGCCGCGCTACACCTGCCAAAAGTCCGCAGTCACCCGCCCGCATCCTCTCTTTCAACCGTATCTCCACCAAGCGAGCAGGAGAAAGGCGCTTGTTCAGAAAGAGATTCCTTGCAGCCACTCGCTGGCGCCTTCCTCGGGACTCAACACCCCTCAGCAACTTCAACTCAGATATAAACCGGTCTCTTCTTCCTCCCTATTCCATGCCCAGGTAGCTCTACAGACACACAAACCAGTAACTTTCACAATGACACGGCAACTCCCTCAACTATCTCGTCATGTCGACGCCCAGGGTAGCGGATCCAGTCATCCTACCCGCACCAGTACCGCCTACACTGTGAAGGAAGCGCCGTTCGGGACTCCGCAGCCCATTCGCATCGTCGGGATCGGCGCCGGTGCAAGCGGAATCAACCTGATACGCACCCTGAGAAATACCCTCGGTGCCTCAACGTACGAGCTTGTGGTCTACGAGAAGAACGAGAATGTCGGGGGTACTTGGTTCGAGAACCGGTACCCCGGGTGCAAGTGCGACGTGCCTAGCCACAACTATCAGTTCAGCTGGAGACCGAATCCGGCCTGGTCGAGCTTCTTTGCCCCCGCGGCAGAGATTGAGAACTACCTTTGCCAAATATGTGACGACGAGAAGCTGCGGCCTTTCATCAAGACTTCGCATCAGATCATCGGGGCGGCTTGGTCGGAGTCCAAGGCCGTGTGGGAGTTACAGATCAAGAACTTGGGGACTGGCGCCGTCTTTGAAGATTATGCCAACTATTTTATTGACGCAACTGGTATCCTGAAGTATGTATATTGCCTTTCGAATTGCGTACCATGTTAACGTCTTACTTGCCTAGTAAATGGAGATTCCCGGACGTGGAAGACATCTCACTTTTCGAGGGTACCCTTATTCACAGCGCAAATTGGCCCAGGGACTTTGACTATACAAACAAGAAGGTAGCAGTTATTGGAAATGGTGCGTCCGGTGTCCAGATCGTTCCAGCAATGAGACCACGTGAGTATATTCCACCTCTATCATGGCGATGCAGCCAGCTTACAACAAGCAGACGTGAAGAAGCTACACCACATCATTCGGACGCCCACCATGATTATCCCTCCTCGCGTGGCCACAATGAAGATGGGGCCTTCAGCAGCTCTCCTTGACCAAATTGAGATGGATGAGAACGAGCGATTCTCAGCGGCGACGATTGAAAAGTTCAAAACCGATCCGGCCTTCTACAACAAGTTTACAAAAACTCTCGAGATGGACTCCAATATTAAGTTCGCCATTTCTCTCATTTCAGGAAGCCCTCAACAGGCATGGGCGCTGGGAAAGACCAAGGAATTCATGACGGCGATGCTCAAGGGAAATGAGAAGCTCTGCAAGCAGCTGATACCCGACTTTCCCCTTGGATGCAAGCGACTCACTCCAGCCCCTGGATATCTCGAATCGTTCCACGACCCCCGGGTCTCCCTTCACACCGACGCCATCAAGAGGTTCGTGCCGCAAGGCATAGAACTGGTCACTGGGGAGATCCTCGAAGTTGACATTGTCGTCTGCGCCACTGGCTTCGACTCATCATTCCTCCCATCGTTCCCGTTAATCGGTCGACACGGCAACTTGCAGGACATCTGGTCCGAGCAAACACCCAAAGCATACATGTCCCTTGCCGTTGCAGGTCTGCCAAATTTTTTCAGTAAGTCGGGCTTCCCTTACGCTCACCGCTTCGAAGCTGACCATCCTGCTTGCTGTAGAGTTCCTCGGGCCTAATGCACCTGTTGTGCAGGGTGATGTTTTTACGCTTAGCGAGCACGTTGCCACTTACATCGCCAATACTATCCTCAAATGCCAGACAGAAGGCGTCCGGACTATCGCCCCGTCTGAAGCGGCCGTGGAGGACTATTTTGAGCACATCTCAGCCATTATGCCTCGCACAGTCTTTGCGGGCGGGTGCAGATCTTGGTATAAGCAAGGCGAGGTCAACGGCCCTGTGACAGGTCTGTATCCTGGGAGCCGTATGCACTTCATCCGCTTGCTGGAGCGATTCAGGGGCGAGGACTGGGAGTACACGTATGAGAATGCGAAGCAGAACCGATTCGCATACTTGGGCAACGGGTTCACCGCGCTGGAGATGGCGATGCTCAAGGCTGGAGCGCCGCCTTCCTGAATAAATGGTTCGGTCCACAGGGGGTCAACATCGCCTTGTACATGGACAGGGATAGACGGCTGGATCTTGTTCTCAGTGGCATCACTTTCTGGGTGGTTTGCAGGCGTTGATTTCTGGAAAGGGTCTAGTTCTAGGCATGACTGATGATGAAGTCGATTTGGGAGCTTGACGATTCAAGCGAGTCCAATACCAGAATGGCGTGTGACACACATACACAGACAGAAACCACGCGTGAACTTTTTGTCACCATTATTGCTTTTCCCTACTGTCCCCGACTTGTTGCCTGAGCCTCGAGTCGTCGAGTGAGGCCCCTGTTTTTTCCTCCTTGAGTCGGAGGAGCCGCGGCCTGCGGGAGTCGTCCAATGTCTCGGATGCTGAGCCACTGTGTGGTTGTGTCCAGGCGACTTGGCGCGGCACATCCGAGTGTTGGTTACGTTGATAGTTTCCCCCGGTAACCAAACAACTGACCAGTTTTCCCTCGTCCAGCTGTCTGCTGCCTGGTTGTGCGGAGTTTCCGCGTGAGAGACGAGGGCTTGACCGGCTATTTGGGAATGGCGCTGTCTTGGGTCGTTGGCGTTGTCTCAGTGTCAATGATGGCTTGCACTGGCGGAACTGGGTAGTATGATTGCTTGCTAATTTCGGGGCATGTAACTTGAAGGTTGAGATGAAGAGGAGTGGTGGTTGAGGATGAGAAGCAGTTCGTACTTGTCAGCACATATAATGGAATATGGTCTCCGTCTTAGAGAGCGAGTGCCATCGAGAGGGCGGTAATACTAGTCCATAAGCCTTCAGTAGCTTGCCTTGCAACTAGGTTTATTTGGCTGGAGATAATGGAATGCTGCATGTGGCATTATGGTAAGTAATACAAGGCTGTTGATGAATAAGTTACGCTCTGACACGGCATGATACTAGAACTAAGTAACTACGATGGGCCCCAGTGAACATGATGGTTTAATGTAGACTATTGACAACTCAGTCATCTCGAAGCCACGCGGCTGAGATGCTGGGCAGTAAATTCTTCGGCTTTGGAGTAAGAGTATCATCAAGAGGGCGATAGTCTATTCTGCAACAGAGGCATCTAGCCCATCATGTCAGTGTATTCTGGAGGAATTTGATGAAGATTGGATTTCAGACCCTCAAGATGTACACATTCGGCTATACGCCCGGTTTCTTTGAGGCGCGCTCACGTTGCCCACTCCTAATGGGCAATTCTAGGATGATTTCCTCACCTGTCGAGTCCCTAGACATGGTTTAGTACAGACCTGCGAGTTGTCTAGTGTGAGTTGACATCGAGGAATAGTCTCGGCTGGTATTATCGGTTTCGCCAGACATGGTGGCATTAGTGACGTTGTGGACTCTCGTGTCCCTCTTTGATAGAAATTGGGCACCATGAGATCTTGGCTAGTTGACTAAAGCCTCCGATAACATCTCCCAATGACGGATGTCATCATTGAGACAAAATCGGCGAAACGGTGAGCTGAATAGCAATAAGCTTAGCCTTCTACACACTGCGAACTTTCCAGCTCATGCACAGTACTTTTATCAGGCTTTTTTCGACTACTTGAAAAGTAAAGTTTCAGCCGGATTGATGGTTCTGCATGAGAAATGGTTGGTTGGCACATAGTTTGTTGGTTCAAGTCGATCATCGTAGCGCCACCCCGTTCAGTGGCCCGACCCGCTCCATAAGGCCGGCGCTTAGGATCATGCACCGACCAACTCCGAGTCTCATCTTCCTCTTGTCTTCTGACTCCTACAGATGTCTGACCATATACCTTTCACCCCGTTTCTCGATTTTGAGGCGCTTCTCACGAATGCTTTCTCAGTGAGATTGTCGAGCAGCATCAACAGTTGCTTCCCAAATTTTGATACCAGTCCATCTTGTTCTGCCTTCGGTCACGTATGTTGGCAGCATGCTGCGCCCCTCTGTTTCAACCAGGGTCTGCAGGAGGGCAGACTGACGATTGCTGCGCGAATGTAACAGTCGGTATCAAGCATGCCAACCGAGGCGCATATCTAACCATTTCGTCGGGTTGCCACAGGTTCTCAGATTTCCTGCGTCTGGCTACATCCATAACTAGACAAGTTAACTCCAGTTGGGGTCAGCCGATGAAATATGCGTGTCGGAAAGTCGGTGTTGGCAGCCAGGACGAGAGATCGTAGGCCTATTGGTGTGTGTGGCCATGTCTGCTCCATATCCTGGCGAGTGTTGGGCGCTTAGCATGCATAATGCATCGGGGCGGATTCCAAAGAAGGCCCCTCCCATGGGCTTGATCTTCGGGCAACTATTTGCACTGCCCAGATGTTGGTTGGGCGGACTCATTGAAGAAGTGCCACTTTCCCTCGCCTTGGTCCCCTGTCGAGTGCGCAAGTTTTGCATTTGCCTGGCTCGAGAGCTGGGTATCGCTATCCTTATTAACCTATCCACTGTTTCTTATGTCGACTTCATTGTTTCACTTTTAATCATACACTGCTTGGGTTTTTGTTCTAGATCGCCGCAAAATGAGCCAAGATGAGCCACTCTATCTTTTGTCGTTGGGTATGTTGCTCCTTGATCATTTAGGAGGCCTTGTCTAACACATGGCAGACGGCGGAGGCATCAGAGGGATATCAGAACTCGTCATACTACACGAGATCATGAAGCGGCTACAGAAGATGGCAGGACTCAGAGAGTTACCCAAGCCTCAGGACTATTTCCATTTGATGGGTGGCACAAGTACTGGGGGGTTAGTTGGTCTTTCCAATACACCGTCTTGCAAAGTTCCGCTAACAGCAGATCATTGGAAAGACTCATTGCCATCATGCTAGGTCGCATGGGTATGTCGACTGAAGAAGCCATCAACGCATACGAAAGTTTCGCAAAGGACGTTTTTCACAAGAAGAACCGCAGGCGGTGGTGGAACAGAACTTATAAAGAGGAAACACTCGTCAAGATCATACAAGACAATGTAACCAAGAAGAAGCTCGCAAAGACCACGATGCTCGACGACACGAGGGAAAAGGGGCTCACTTTTGTATGCTCAGCCACGTATGACACCTATGCAGCCTACCTTTTCCGAACGTACAAAGGGAGCAGCAACTGCGCCCACGATGTGGAAATTTGGGAGGCGGCAAGGGCAACGTCGGCGGCACCGACATTCTTCCACCCAATCTCCATCAAGGTCGGGGCGGAGAGAAACCAGTACGTTGACGGAGCCGTAGTCTACAATAACCCCGCCAGCCTTGTCCTGAATGAGGCCGAGTCTTACTTCGGCAAAAGGAGAACGTTGGGCTTCCTCCTCAGCTTGGGCACCGGACTTAAAGTCTCCGATAAGGAAGTCAATGTAGTTCCTCAAGGGCAGGCTATAGATCGTCCAGTTATGGCCAGACAAGGCAGCGGCGCCCTATTATCAAGCGGCACGATAAAGATTGCCAAGCATGCCAAAGCATCGCTGACTGATTCCGAGCCCGAGCACCAAGCCTTAGAGCACCGGTTTCAAGGAACACCCTACGCGTATTGGCGGTTGAATTTAGACCGTGGCGCTGCGGATATTAAGCTGAATGAATACGAGAAGATGGGGTTGTTGCGGGCGGCAACGGAGAGGTACATCCAAGGCCCTGAAGTCTCTGACCATATCGACAAAATCGCCAGCATGTTGTATGCAAAGGAGGGCGTCAACCTGTCTCTTGATGCCGCATGTAAGTATCCTACCTGGGTTACTCTGCTCAGTAACTGACTCGCAGTAGGCCACGCGGTATCCGAAGAAGCCTCGAAGCAAGCCGTTGAGCAAGAGGTTCAGATCAACAGCATTGCAAGCCCTCAATTCACTGGTAGATTAGACATACTCAACAAGATGGAACAATACTTTTGCGAACGCCCGTCCGGATCTTCACCTAGAAGACACCTCAGAATTTGGGGCATGGGAGGAGTTGGGAAGACGCAGATTGTCCTCAGATTTAGAGACTTGTACGGGTCGAGGTAGGTGGCATGACGTTCATCTCAACCCACAGTTTCCTCACTAATTTCGCGTATCTTAGATTCGATCGGATATTTTGGATCAACGCCGCTACCACAGCTTCGATCTGCGAAAGTTTCAGATTGCTAACGGCTGAGATTTTCGGTGGAGAGCCCAGCAGACCTGACTTTAGGAGAATACACAATTGGTTGGCGCAGAATCGCGCTGAAGAGTGGCTTCTTGTCTTCGACAACAATGACACAATCGACGTGAGCAAACGTCTTCCTCAAGGGAATACTGGAAACATTATCTTCACCAGCAGAAGGAAAGATATGTCACCCACCCTTGACGCCGACCAAACAATCCCGGTCGACATTATGGACGCAGAGGATGCAGTCACCCTACTCCTTCGCGCCTCGAAAAGACAAAAGACAAGTTTCGGAGATGATGAAGACAGGCACGGAAGAGAAATCGTTCATGAGCTTGGATATCTCCCGCTGGCCATCGATCAGGCCGGTTCCTATATTTATAACCAGGAGTGTTCATTCGAAGACTATCTCGTCGATTTCCGGAAAGGCCGAAAAGATATTCTAGGAGACCCTATGTACCCGGGAGTCTTTGAGCATAATCCCGCTGTATATGGTACATTTGAGCTCTCGTATGTGGCACTGGAAAAGCGGTCACAGGAAAACGATAGCCCAGGGCGGGCTGCCTTGCATGCCCTTCGTATTCTCAACATCTTCTGCTTCTACCACAATGAGAAGATTACGAGTGAGATTCTCAGCAGGGCAGCCGTCAGTAGAAGAAGGGATCCAGGACTCTTGCGCAGCGAAGAGGGTAGCGCTGGCATTGGGCCGCTTTCGTTGCTTGAAATCACCGGGGAAGGCGATTGGGATCGAACCAACTTCGATAATGGAATCGCGACGCTGAGAAGCTATTCTTTGATCAAGAGGTCTACCTTAGTCAAATGGTGGTATTCTATGCATGTTTTAGTGCACTCTTGGGCCAGAGACCGAATGAAGCCCAAAACTCTGACCTCGCAACGCAAAGCAGCTGGCGAGATACTCTATCTTACGATTGAGAGAAACAACGGCTTCAGTTCGGCGCTCTTTCGCCCTCAGGTGCTGCCGCATATGCAGGCTTGTTTCGAGCACGGAAGCCTGGAGTTCATGAAGTTGACGAGGGAGACTCATAGGGAAGGTATATTCGCAAGTGTGCTTATGGATTTGGGACTCTGGAACAAAGCTACGAAGGTCTTGGAGCAGATCCTTCCTGCTAGCCAAGAGATATTCGGGCCTGCAGACATTGCAACTATAGGAGTCTCGTGGGATCTGGCCAAGACCTACCTGAATTCCAGCAGATTAAGAGAGGCTCAGGCTCTTTTTCGACATATTCAGAGGTTAAGTGAGGAACGCTTGAATGAGGAACCCGTTGACGTCGAAATCGCGCGCTATTACCCTCACATCGTTATCGACCTCATACAGGTACACATTATCCAAGCAAGATACAAAGAAGCCAAAGACTTGCTAGCTATACTTCTAGACTTAGGGATGGAAGTTGAGGAGAAAGCCGGGCGAGACAGGAGCTGGTGGCGCAAAACTGTGAGAACACTGGCAACCGTCTTTCGGATGGAGGGCAATGCTGAGATGGCTTACAGTATTGACATGCATTTCCTCCGGCGGTGTGTGGAGAAAAAAATCTCTTCCCTTACAACAGTGAGCGCATTGAACAGCGTCGCAGCATCGTGTTCAGACCTGGGGCAATACCATGAAGCGGAATGGATGTGGCGCAAAGTCCTCGCCATTGAAGAGGGGTTGGAAAACAACTCGAGGATCCTGCCATCGAAGCGAAACGTCGCAACTAGTTGCGCGAACCTGAACCGATTTGAAGAAGCAGAGAAAATCTTGCGCGAGGTTCTCGAGACAAGCGAAACGGTTCTTTGGAGGACACATCTTGATACACTGGCAACGATGGACCAGCTGGCGGGTGTGTTGGCCCGGTGTCACAAGACAGAGGAGGCTATCCGGCTTTGGGAGGAATGCCTCGATGGTTGGGAGGATATTCTACATCGGCAGCATCCTCTCAAGCAGAGAACAAGGTGGGCGATGGAGAAAATAAGGAATGGGGGTACAGGCCTCGTGCAAGAGGATTTCCAGGCCGGCGGATACATGTTTTCTGGAGGATGCCATTTTGTACCAAAAGAGGTGCCCAACCGGGATCACCGTTTGCTGACCTGGATGTCATCGTCAGTGGTTCTCGAGCCCCTCGTACCCAACGAACTAGAGGGGGACGCAATACGCGAAAGGGAATAGCAAGCGCGCAAGCGTGAACGGTCAAATGAAGCGACTCTTCTTTGATTGAACTTTGGATGTCCAGACGAATTGTAGATTACAATCATGACTATCGCTGTTGTGTCTGTGTATTATGACTCGGTTCTTATACAGAGCGTTGAGAGCATCTTCCCTCCTCCTTGATGCTTAACCAAGCATATACTGTGTGCAACTCTTGTTAAGAGGCACTGTATGGGTCAACGAAATGGGTCACCTCGTTGGCGTCCTATCAGAAAATGGTGATTTGCATGCCGGACTACCCAAACATCATTTGCCAGTATCTTGAACAACCAGCAACGGGGTGGTCCTTATCCATTGAATTGAAAGCAGGGGAGAAGTATTGAGTTCCAGCGTTAAAAGTCATATCGATCCACGACTCATTTCCCAGTGACGTCGTCGCAGCCTCCCGACCCAACAAACTTCATCACCGCCGTCACCAATGCGGTCTGCATCAGTTTTGAGAATGGCCTCGGCCTCCGTCTCAAAGGGTAACGGCCTCAGGCCCACGCCGATGGCCCTCCTGCCCCCTATCCCGCTATACCGTCGTCTTCTGCGCGCCCACCGCAAGCATCTTCCTTCCGAGATGCGCCTACTGGGTGACGAGTATATCAAGGCTGAATTCCGTGCTCATCGCACAGTAGATAACCCGGCGCACCTGGTACGTCCTCTGCTTTGGTGATGGCATGACCGTGTGAATCATTCTTTACACGAGGGAACTGATTAACAATTTTTCCGAAATGTGCTAGATCGGTTTCTTGACTGAGTGGCAATTATACGCGCAGAAGATCGAGGGGAACTCGTGGGTTGGCGAGAAGATTGACCCCGTCAAGGTTGCTAAGATGAGTGGTGAGTTGTCTCTTCAATGATTTCTTCCGTGACTTCACAGTGGCTGACGACTCATTTACCCGTTAGACGAACAAATCGGTCAACTTTATGAGCTGATGCAGGCGATCAAAGAACGGCGTGAGTCAGGGGAAGGCGAGGATCAATCATGATGTCGTTGCGTTAAGGAAAAAAAGCACCGTCATTGTCAATGATGCGAGATGCGCGACTTATGCGCGTTTGTATTAACACCTATGTAAATTTATACCTTTTACGCGGCGTCGTGGTCATCTTTCAGTGCCCCTCAAACGCCTCGACAATCCAGTCGGCCTGGATGATGCTTACTTTCTTAGCATAGTTTTTCTGCGTGAAGACATGCTCAAGGAACATGATGGCCTCCTTCTTCTGCCCGTGTAGCACACTAGACGGGTGAATGGCCACAACGTGCTTGCCTTGTGACGTGACGTAGCTCGCATCCGGCGCCAGTATAGCTGTCTTGGACACGAAGCCACGGAGGAAGCATTTGAGCAGAGCCTCGGCCTGTTCCGGAGCCAGAGGAGTAAAGGGCTGGGGGTCAGGCGGTGGCGCCTCTGTAAGGAGACCTTCTTTGAGGCAGAGGCTACGCAGTTGCCTGCGGATATTGAGCGCTGTCTTCATGTTGCGAATATTGACCTTTCTCTGCTTGCACCACTGTATGCGATCGGCGTTCTCGGCGGCGTATTGTTGCATTGTAGTAAGATATGTTAGGATGTCGCCTTCCCGGCGGTAGAGCTCCTTGCGAAGTTCTTCAATTTCTTCGCGTTGTTCTTCCGACTGCAGCTGATGGAAGATGTCGTCGCCAGACGTGATGCAGGAGATGACGTCTATCGTCTCTAGGACGCAGTCGAATTCTGGCTTGGCGGAGGCAAGCAGGACCGCACCAAACGCCGCAGAGATGGGAAATCCGGCCATCTTGCGGCCTGCCTCAGTGATCGTGCCGTCGTCTGCCAAAGCACCTAGTCCATGAAGGCTGACTAGGGCTCGTTCGATGGCTTCCACATCCGGGGTGTCCATAAGGGGAAACCCAAGAATGTCATCGATGCCTCGCGCTTTCATCGTCAAGACAGCTCCCAGTACATCGATCCTCAGGATCTCTGGCAAGTCTGTTTCCTCGAGTGTGCTGAATGTACCTTCAGTGTATAGCCTGAAGCACTTGCCAGGGCCTTCACGACCAGCACGGCCTGTTCGCTGGATAGCGGAAGACCTGGAGATAGGTTTTGCTAGTAATGATTCCATACCGAGGCGAGCGCGGAATTGCTTAACCTTGGCCTTACCGCCGTCCACCACGTAACGTACACCGGGTACGGTGACGGATGTCTCAGCAATATTGGTAGCCAGCACGATTTTCCTCGTGAAACCCCCCTTAACAGGCTGGAAAGCTGCATGTTGTCCTTCCATTGAAAGCTGACCATACAAGGGTAGAACTTTGATTTTGGGAACGTTGGAGGCTAGCGTTGCGGCGTATTCCTCGAGCAGTGACTGCGCGGATTCAATTTCCTCCTGTCCGGTCAGGAAAGCAAGAATGTCGCCAGGTAGCGGCTCTTCCATATGGATTTTGAAAATTGTCTTCAAGAGAGATTCCTGAATATCCGGCACTGGCTGGGGTGTGTGTAGGGTCTTGACCGGGTACTGTCGGCCCTGGATCTTCAGTACTCCAACAGAGTTGATATTGTTGTCGACCAAGTCGTCACCGCCGCTTTCTTCTTCGGGACCGTTCGCAGAGAAGAAACTTTGAATGCGCTCAACATCTGCCGTGGCACTCATGACAACAACCTTCAGTGGTATGCCGCCGCGGCCCTTCCGGCGACTAAGCAGGATTTGCTTAAGGAATCCGGACACCAGATCCACGTCGACACTTCTCTCGTGGATTTCGTCAACGACAACGGCGCTGTATTGTTTCAAATCTGGATCTCTCAGAAGCTCCTGAAGAAGCATACCTTCCGTGAGGAACTTGATCTTCGTGCCCTTGGGGACCTGGTGATCGAAACGAACTGAGTATCCAACTAGTCCGTCACGGCTCTCACCGAGAGGCGTCCCAGCCTCGCGAGAAACTCGATGCGCTAAAGTCGTGGCGGCGACTCTACGTGGTTGAGTGACTGCGATCATGCCACCGACACTGACTTCTCTTGCTTCTGCGATACTGACAGTTTGTCTTCTACACCACGGCTCCCTGATCAGGAACTGAGGTATTTGAGTACTTTTTCCGGAACCAGTTTCACCAACGAGAAGGAGTACATCATTTTGGCGTATGTGAGCTTGTATCTCCTCTCGGTGTGCCCAGATGGGTAACTTTTGCCTGATCTTCAATAGGGCAGGATCTTCCCTCCATTTTGGGCCTCTTTTGTCAAATCTTGGCCTGTCTCGATCCTGGGATGTTTTCGACGAATGCTTGATGAAGGTCGGGGCTGTGTGATGCGAATCCTTTGAATCTCTGACTAATGCGCCTGACGTGGCATCATTTTCTGTATTCTGAATAGACCGCAGCTCTTCCGTTGGACGTTGCTGAACTTCTGCTTCTTTTTTCTTTGCTGGGGGATTGAGATATCCCTCGAGAGAAATGACTTTGTTGCCAACCTTGATAGTATTCTTACTGTCAAGCTTCCTCTTTTTGGAGGCGCGTTCAGCGTCCAGTACAGATGACATGTTGAGTGCTGCTGACAGAATTTGCGATGTTCAGTCGGCGGTTACCTGAGAAATGGACGGGAGGTAAGAAGAAGAAATTTACGGGGAGACCGCTGGGTTTGGGTTCGCACCCGGTGATATCCCGATTGGAAGCCTGCCCCGTATTTGCACAGGGCGCTTGAGGTAGGTACCTGCCTGCCTCAACACGATGGCCGCAATATCGTTCTGACTCCTTGAAGGCCTCTTCCTCAAACAAGGTAAGTTGAATGGGATAATTGGCAAAAGCCTATCAGGTATATAAGCTACGGTAACCTGTAGTTACTTCTCAGTTGACGAAAGCAAAAGTTCCGCCAGGTCCTCAAATTGTCACTGACTTTGCCCGCAACCATATTGGTCAGATGCCCAACCCCGAAAATCCTGTGTCCCAATTGCAAGTTGCGTCACTTTGGTCCCTCTCAAGCTTTCCCCCTCACTCGTACCGATACAAGTCGATCGTCTGCCCACGCTTTCTCATATAGCAAGGCTAGCCTGACGACACTCCCTCCTCGACACACGATCTTCACCCCAGCAATGGCGGACCGCTACAAGCTTATCTATACCGTGCCGGGTTCGGTCTGCTCTACATGATCAAGCTCGAGCGAAAGCATGCTGACTTCTTCCTCATTTCGACAGCCTCCCATTTGGTCGCTACTAAGGACGCCGTCTTCGAAACGGGTGCTGGTGTCTATGACGAGGGCAAGTACATCCAAGTGGCCTTCGAGCTGACCGGCCAAGGCCAATTCATGCCCGTGGCGGCAGCTGGAGCAGCCCCTCACATAGGCGCCGTAAACGAACTTGAGCAGGTTCTCGAGTATCGAGTCGAGATCCTGTGCTCTGACAGAAATGTTGCAAAAGCCGCTGTGACAGCTCTCAAAAGGTATGGGGTTTGAATTTAGAGGTTCTTCTTGTTTTCAATTGACAATATGCTCTCTATAGCGCTCACCCTTACGAAACCCCGGCCTATGAAGTTTACAAGTTGGAAAACATTTAGTTGCCGACCTTGCTCCCTTGTCTTTTTGTGGGCATTTTCACGGATAAAGTAGTCAGTGGAATTGGCTCCCGATCATTCACCTGATGCGGTTTAGACGCTCTCGGTTCATTCTGACTCCGTCGTCGACAGCATCGCTCTGGGAAATATGATTTAGCATCAACACAAAACAAGCTGGGAACCAGTGATGTATTTACCTTTTTGGCGATGTTGTTGATGAGAACATTCTGTTCATCGATCTCTCTTCCCAGAGCATCGGCACCCAACTTTAAACGCCCAGTCGTGCCGCTGAGTGCTCTTAGATTTTCGTCAATCATCCTCTCTTTCTCTTCTTCCTCCTCGCCCTCGCTATCGAGTAAAGTGAAATCCTTCTTGGTTGCCTTTTCCGCCTCCTTTTGAGGACGACCAGACAGCGACATCTCCCTGAAGGTATCTTCCATTCGCTGATTGGACTTGAAAGCCTCGTGTCTGGTTGTCTCACGAACCTCGCGCTCCTGGCGGTGTCGGTCGAGAATTGCCGCATCGCGTTCTGCCGCACGCTTCTTCGATGTGAATGGGTTGGCGATGTGGACTGCGAACATGCTTCCGTTGGCGGTTTTAAGCTCCTTGGCACCATCCTCCGCCTTCTTGTTGTGGTTTGCCGCTAGGTCCATGTTCCTCTCTGTGTTATGCAGACGCTCGCCTTGAGCAGCAAGCCGGGCGAGTGTTGCGTTGGCTACGTCCTCAATGTTGCTCGCATTTTGACGCATTCTTTGGGTGGCCTGAAGAGACTGATTCCTGACATCCTTGATTTGATCCTTGGTGGCGCGATATTCCTCCTCTTCTTGCTCTTCGGCTGTGAGCTCACGGGGGGCTCCATATCCGCCGTATCCCCCATCAGCACCAGAAGGGGTCGACTGACCGTACCCTCCAGCCTGCGGCTTGTCCTGCTGGTATCTGTTTTGAGCCCCGCTGAAGAGCTCGTCGCGCACAGCATCGGTGCTGTCACTGTTGGTTCGGCCTAAGCCTCCGTAACCTCCGGGTCCGCGAGCTCCGCCATTAGCACCTGATCGCTGATTCGAGTCGTAGGCGTTCTGATTGTTGTCGTAGCGATTCGCCCCGTATCCTCCTGCGGCTCCGTACTTTTCGTTCCCGTAGCCACCACCAGCCCTCGGGCCGCCAGGTAGGCCGCCGGGGGCATCGCCATTGATGGGCACACCGGCTCGTGCTCGTTGATAGGGTGTCATGCCGGCGTACTTGTTCGCGTCCTGGGCATAGGGATCGCCGCCAGCCGGAGCTTGTGCGTAGGGATTGTCGTTGCCCGGAGCAGGAGACTTGTTCTTTCGGCCGAAGAGGGCAGAGCGGTTGGCATCGTCGCCTTCATCACCGCCTTTCTTACCGAAGCCGAACTTCTTCATGGTGAGAGGCTATAGAGTGGAAAATTGAGGTTTCGTCGAGGTATGGTGAATGTTGTACAATTGAATTTGTTCTAGAAGAAAGCAAAACACAACGTGCCGCTGAAGGTTTGTCTAGGGAAACAGAACGTAAGGTAAAGGAAACGTATAAAAATTAGGAGAAGTCAGGTCGTTGAGGGACAGCACGGTAGATGGCTAGATGCAGGAGGTACGGGCAAGGGGCGGGCAGCACCAGCGGGCCTAGCGGGGGCCCAGCGGGGTTGGACAAGGGGTGTCCAGTAGCAGCTTAATGTGGCAAAATCGGGCCCGTCTTGGGTGTGTTTCGAAGGCGAACGGAAGTGCCCCCCTCGGGCTTCAGGGTCTAAGCCATAAAACATTCGTCAGGCTTCTAATGGTTTGGACCTGACTTGGGGAATTGGGCTTGGGCCAGCGACGACCCGAAGCGCAACGAATCAAATATGCAAACTGCCTGGATCAGGCCTGGGTTCAGTGTTGCGGGCTGCGGCAATGGAGAAAACATCATCCTGCTCAAGTCATCATGGCCGTTCGAAATGACAGGGAATGAGTTAGCCACCCAGGTACTGACATTTGAGTTGGGGTACGGATCTCCGACATGCTCCGTTGACAATCATATTATGGCGCAAGGAGCGGGCTATACAATGGTGGTCATCATCAGCCTATAGCAGCTCTCCGTGCTCGACTCAGCCTCGAGTCTAGCGCTGGAATCATCGCTTTTCCTTGGTCGCTCTTCAGCTTACTGCGTAATCCGGATGTGTTGTCTAGTGCCGCAACCAGACTCTGTATCGGACGGCATTGGGCTGAATACCTAAGCCGGGCGCATTTGTATATACCTTGCCTAGATGATGGGTATCCGTGCTCTGTGGTCTTCCCACCATTTCCCACACGCATCTTATCTAAGCACATCGCAAACCGTGCAGTAGCATTATTGCTTGTGCTCCGTGAACGTGGCATTGTGCGCTGATTACCTACTCTTTCCCAGGTAGCAAGGAGGTGAAATTAGGTCTGATCTGCGAAGCAAATGAGTCCAGCCTCGTCCGGGAGAATGGTTCTGCGGAGTACTTCGACAGTGTTTGTGCCTGGAGGCCAAGCGAATGCAGCCTTGAAAGACCCTAGGTGCATGGGAATGCGGCAAGGCACATTGGCTTTCACCGTGCTCCGAAAGACTTAGAGATTCGTACCTTAAGTTGGTGCAAATATTTACTTGCAGGTACTGGTTACTTTCATTCTGTACCGGATCCCCGGGTATTACAGAACCAGGTTACGGAAAGGGGGACAAAGACAACCCGATTGCTATTATTAGGTAGGTAGGTAGGGAGACTTTTTGGGCCACCGACACTACCTTATGCAAGTACAATACTCCGGACACCAAAAATACGTACAAACCTGGCCAGAGTCCAAAGATCAAACGCACAGCGAATGACCAAGTTATCTTAGGAACAGTATCTACGCATAGAGGATTGCCTCCTCAGTAATCAAACTTCAACGTCAACCTTGTTGCTAAACTCTCTTCAATAGCAAGACTGGCTATGTCATAGCTAGCCAAGCCCAAGATCGACAATGTAGGAGCTGGACAGATCTACTCAACAAGCGCAGGTGAAAGAGTTGGTAAGTACGTTGGCATGAGTGAGTCTACTTCAGGTACTCGCAGCGTAGATAAGTTCCGAGGCCCTTGGTCAGAGTTGTCGCTACGGATACTTTGACGCAATTCAACGCTGTGGAGTGTGGACTCATGGAGTCATTCACCGCCGACTGGTAGGCGGCCCTGCTTTCCATGGTCGCTGGATAGGCTGGTGGTCGAATACCCGCACTTTCCCCGCCCGGACACTTCAAAGTCGAGCCACTCAGAGAGGTGCTAAGGTAGTTTCCCATCTTGCCATCTTACCTAACAAGGTATCTTAGTCACTTTGAACTTGACTTCCGGCCAACTGCGTCACACCTCGGCTGAGACCTCTCACCGTCCTCCGAGTCATTGCTCCGGCCAGACTGCAGCGTCAAGACTTATCCATAGCCACTCTCTGTCCAAAGACTCCAGTCTTTGTATGCGCTTCCAAACTCCCAGACCACAAATATCAGAACCAGCTGCGTATAGATAACGATCGCCATGGCCTTCAACTAGGAATCCAATTGAGATTCCTCTCCGTCACTCCAAAGTCAGCAACAGCGCCTTGAGCACGTCGCAGATATCACCACTCAGCTCAGTTATCAAAATGATACCGCGTATAGCGTTTCGTTCCTCTGCCTTTTTTACTGCAATAGCTCTTCAAAATCGGCGTTGACATCCATCGCGAGTTTGTTTCTACTCGATATCACGCGCTTTAGAAACTGCCACACCTTCGCCACCACACTCACTATCCTATCGCCACCCTTGTACTTGAACCATGGCTTCCGGTTCAATATTCACTTTCGATACGGATCCTCAACGGGTCTCATCCCCATGGCTGGCCCCTGAAGACTCTGGGAGGAGGTCCGACTCTGATAATGGACAAGTCCAGCCGGGGCACCTCTCAGACTATGGCGTCACCAAGCTGGAAGCAGAGCCGCAAGAAGGTCCCACTGAATACAAGCTTCACCTCTTATTGCGACCAAGACGGACGTACACCGCTATGAGCACCATATCTTCCTCCCAGAACTCCAGAATTCCCGCCAGCCGCTCAAAGATTGCAACTGCTGCCCTATCGGCCTCCAGTCAGAGTCGACAGGTTCGCCTACAACAACTGACTACGCAATTACTTTGGAGGCTCCAGCAATCATGTGCCTACCATGCTCTGAATCCCAAGGACCTCATCATACCAAAATTACCCGATGATACGGACGACTTGAGCCAAGCGATGACTCCACAGAAACCTCTCCCCGGCTTGGAAGAATCTCGTGGAGCATTGTATGAGATTGGTGTTGCTGATGACGGGACTCTGGTAGGGCTTACCAAAGACGAAATGGACGAGAGCATCACGACACTCAAGGTCATGGCAGCCACGCTGGGCTGCCGCGTGGAAATCCTACGCCATGTCATTGTTGGCGAGTGCGAATGGCTAGAGACGTCCGAGTTGGTGGATAGCGTGGCTACTCAACCTGCCCAAATTGCTCGACAGGCAAGACTCTGGGTTGTAGAAGCTCTCGTAACTCCCGACTACTCAATGAAGAACGGGCACCCAGATGGCTCGGCAGAGGGGCGTCGCGAAGCTAAAGAATCGCCAAGGGCTACCGAGTCTGTTGTGCAACCAAGCAGAGGGCGCTCTACCACGGATCAGCTAAGGATAACGCTCACTGGACCAACGACGTCCGGGAAATCTACTTTGCTGGGTACCTTGTCCACGGGGACTGTCGACAACGGCCGAGGGAAAAGCCGGATCAGTCTCTTCAAACATCGGCACGAGGTTGCATCTGGACTCACTAGCTCAGTAGCACAGGAGCTTATCGGCTACAAGGACCGCGCCATATTCAATTATTCGCAAGATCATGTTGAGTCGTGGATTGATATACACGACAGTGCTGAGAACGGCCGCCTGGTTTTTGTTTCCGATTCCGCCGGCCATCCCCGTTACCGCCGGACCATCCTCCGCGGTTTGTTCGGCTGGGCTCCACAGTGGACTATTCTCTGTCTGGCGGCAGACGATGTGGATGCGAGTTCGACAAAAGACGGAGCGAGTTCCACCGCCAACGACGTCCTTGGAGTCGCAGGGGCTGGCGTTGATCTTGCCAAAGCCCATCTCGAGTTATGCCTAAAATTGAAGACTCCTCTGGCTATCGTCATCACAAAAATGGACCTTGCAACCAAAGCCAGTCTGCATCGAATTCTTGGACAGCTCTTGACACACATCAAAGCAGCGGGCAGAGTCCCCAAGATCCTCCAACCAGCTCAAGGCAGTGTTCAGGAATGGACAGCTGTTCCTTCCGCAGATCTCGACAAGGTGAAGGCCGTCACAACAGAGATGGACCGGGATGGAGACCTTCTCAAATTTGTTCCAATAATACTTACCAGTGCTGTCAGTGGTGCTGGTATTGGGATGACACATGCCCTCTTGGAGAGCCTTCCCCTGCCACCAGTCCCTACTGCCAACGACTACGTCGGGATGGCATTGAACCCCGAACAGCCGTCGTGCTTGTTCCATATTGACGACACTTTCAGCCTTCCTGCGTCCTACGCTTCTCTTGCTGAGAATCCCTACCAGAATGACATAGGAACGGTTGTATCCGGATACCTACGTTTTGGCCAGCTTTCGGTCGGAGACAGCATCATTGTTGGACCATTCCCTTCCGGCGAGGACGATTTCAAAGGCATGACGCCGGAGGACCGGGCCTCTCCTGGCAATTATGGGCTGTCAATATCCCACCCATCGTCGGCAGAACTTGCTAAAATTGCAATTCGCAATACAGTGGCAGCCTCCACAATCCAAGGAGAATGGCACAAAGCCACAATTGTCAGCATACGTAATTTGCGGCTCCCCGTGAACACACTTGAAGCTGGTCAAGTCGGCACCATTGGAATCGTCCTGGAAATACCCCAAGAGAAATCGGCAGAAGCGGCTTTCGAGACACCGTTGGCAGCTCCTCGAATCCGGAAAGGCATGGTCCTGGCCATTCCATCCAAGCATATGGCGGACACCGGCATGTCCCTTCAAGCCGCTAGTGGACTTACGGTGTCATTCAGAGACCCCAACGCTGCATCGCTGGCGTACGGGTCTCTTGTTAATGTTTACGTCGGTAGCGTTCGGGCGGCGGCCCGAGTCAAGGGTGTTTCCAGGCTTGCCTCAAGGGATGGCCTGAACAAAGCCAAGCCCGAGGAGACTGAAGATATCTTCGATATGAACGAACATGACGAACCAGCTCCTACCTATAATCTTGAGTTCTCGGGGGGCGTTCAGGTTACATTGGAGCTGCTAACCAGTCGAGAATGGGTCGAGATGGGCTCTCAAATCCTTGTGCTCGAGGGAGGTCGCAATGATAGATCCGGCCTAGAGGGCTTCGTGGGAACTGTCGTCGAGATTGTGGACTGATTTTTGTTTCTTGTTTTTGTTTTTTCTGCGTTTTGCGTGGGAATTATGCTTTGATTAGACTTTGTAGCGGCGTTGTTGAGCATGTTGCCACATCCTTCACTTATATCGTTATGCCAGCGTTATCATGTTCTTTTTCAGATTACGGTTCTGCCATGATATATACCTGCGACTAGACCCATATGCTGGTTCCCCAACGCCTGACGCCACAAATGCCACCTTGGCTATCCGTGTCTCATTATGCCCTCACCAAACCATAGAACAACGTCCAGGTGAGAATGAAACCAGAAAGACCTCCGAGCAGCCCACTTGTCCAGAAGTCGAATGGTCCCTTGAAGTAGCGGCTCGTGCTGAGGAATGGAAGGCCTGCTGATGTCGATTCGGGAGCGATGCGCAGAACGTAGAACAAAGCGGCGGTGATGAGGGAGAAGACGAGGTAGAACAGGAAGCCGCTGTACGATTCGAGACCGAGGATGCCAGCCGCGACACCGAAGAGGGATGCCGAAAGACTCTGCAAGTTTGATAGTGTCTGCAGAAGGCGCGATATGGTTAGCGACAAAGATTACGTCGGCCATTAAAGTCAGTTTCAGGGACCTATCCCACCTTGGTGTTGTGCATCACGGATTCCTGCACAATGGGGGAAATTTGGTAGTCGCGTTCCGACGGCATCGTTGCGGTATTGCTGGTATGGGATGCACGAGTGTTCAAGTCGCCGGAGAGCTCGTGTATTACTAGGGCGACACTGGGAGATCTCAAGTCTCGCGGTCGTATCTTTTCCGTTGCCGATGCACTTCGTGTATGGAGGGTCTCTCAGCCTTGTAGGTGGTGGTGTCTGTTCTGTTCGTAGAGCTCTTCCGTCACAAAGCGGGCCGCAGATTAGGTAATGCTAGCTTTCATACGAATACCTTAAGATATGGTCGATTGGGGTTTTGGCAGGTCACTGGCTCACTATGATTCCTTACCTAATCCCGCTTAGGAAAGTTGGAGATCGGTTTACGGCAGGATAATTTTCCAGACTGACTGACTGACTACCTGCCCATCCAATCTTGCGTTAGTGTCCCCAGATCGGTGGGTGGAGAGTCATGTCGGTCTCGGCTCCGCCCCGTGTCGTCCCATCCAATGTACCAAAATTAAAAATATGCAAATAATAATCCCCAGGTACGCAATACGTGATGCACAAGCCACATTCTCGGTGCTCAAAACCTCACCGCGACACCGTTAGAACGCTCCGTTAGCTGGGGCAGATCATATGCAACCACCCCACCGAGGTTCCGACTTTGTACCCCTAGCACCTTAATCGGTTACAGGGGTCCAGTTTCCTTCCCCATTCGCGAGCGGGCTGGTCACTCTCGGGTCGGCGCTTTGAGCGAACTCTCCCTTCCCCCCTGGTGCGCCCTCCGCATTCACAATACATATCCGTACATACAATCCGTATATATCCCCCGAAGCACCGTCTGCCTACTAGAAAGTAGCGTTTGCTCATGTTTTGCGTTTCCCTTGAGTCTTGTAATCATTAGTCGACCACAACACCTCACCACCCCTTATACCGTTCACGATCCCGCGACGCAGCAGCCAGCGTGACGACTTGGGCGACAGATGGCCGTGCTGCTTGCAGGTGCCTCCTCGATACTTGCCAGGTCGCTAGATGGAGCCTGTTGTGTTTGACCAGTCGCCGCTCGCAGAGTACCTTCGTGGTGAGTGCAACTTTCTCATAGGCGACCTCCTTTCATGCCATTGAGCCCGCCTACTGACGATCTGCGCGCATGCTGCAGACGAAGGCGAAGAGGAGCAGGCAGGATGGGCTCACGACGATCCAACCTACGATGTGTCGCCTCCTTCGAGCCCTGAATTCGCGCCGACAGGTCGGCCGATGGTGAGGTCGAGATTCCGCAATAATCCCCTCAGAGTCGACATACCTACCAAAGCGGCCTCCGACAAGTCTTACAGACTCAGCTATTCGGTGCGCATTCCCAAATCCCCTATCTGTTGGCACATGGGGAAATTACTGATGTGTGTCCTTTCCAGACCGCGGTAGCGTCCAGGATTGACCGAGCCGACAACTCCAAATTCCTCGAGCAATTTCGCTATACTATTATCGCATCCCAGCTATTGAGTGGGCACTCCATATTATCCCAGAACCATGCATCATCCCGGTCCGCCAATATGGCCATTGACGGAAACCCGGCCGACAAGTTGCTGGATTCAACGAGCGCGGTCGTCGTCGTTCTGGGGGCATTGGCTCTCGTTGTCTCGATCAACTGGCTCGCAGGAACGGGGCCATTGAACAGACGGCGCACTTTCGTCATTCTGTTAATTTTTGTGATCGCTGCAGGGATCGCCCATGTGTTCATGCGTAGACAATGGCTGAGGTACAGACGACTCCAAGCACTGTCAGAGGTCACTGCGTTTGTTTCAAACTCTCAGGAATTCGACAGCGCGACTGGCGCAGCGATTGCTCTGGTGCAGGAGGTGGAACTTGTTTCCAGAGGTTACCGTCTGTAAGTTCAATTTCTCCTCTGGCCCAGTAGCTGGCGAGAAAGTCCGTGATGCGCTGACACAAACTTTAGGAGTGCGCCTCTTCCGCCCATCAGTCGCATAGAGGATCGCTCACAGACTCGCAAGTGCGTGCGCCTCCGCAGGGCTCTGAGGGCGTGCTTCGCGGATGTCATTCCCGCATACGATCAGACCGTGGCGGTAGTGAAAGGGTTCTCGGAACAACTCGACCTCGAGAAGTACTACGATATTTACGATATTAGCGATTTCGACATGTCCGATGCCCAGCAGGGCTTCAAGGAGAACGAATTTGAGGATACCGAGTCTTTGAGGACGCTCAAGATCCTCGCCGCACGGTTCCACACCATCCGAAAGATGTTTCTGTGTGCATTGTTGGCCCTAGACGCGAGCGGTGAGAGTGATGACCTCTTGAAATGGACTACCACAGTGGAAGCGGTGCGCACTCTCAATACGGTCACTCAGAGGGCATTCGACAATCTGAGAAGACTTCTGAGCGATGAGGAGTGTAAGTGGTCTTTTCACTTTACTATGGGGCGTGGTGACTGACGTTCTCAAGCATTCCCACCACCACCAACTCCAAAGATGCCATTAACACCTGGTCGGGAGAGATGGAGATCGCAATTACGGAAACTCAACTCTTTATCCAGCGGTATTCGTGGCTTACAGGCCAAATTGACGCTGTTGAGGGAGGAGTCTGACCGAAGCCTCAATGAGTCTGACGACATTTCTGAGCTCGGATCCAACCTCATGTCGCAATATGAGTCCATAGGGGCTGACCTGAAGATATTGATGCAGGCCTGGGAGGAAGGCAAAGCGGCACTCGCTCTGGGTATCGACCGGAACGAAAAGCGACTTTCTTCCATGAGCACACTACTGTCTCCGACCAGCTCTCTCAGTGGGCTCACGACAGTCGATGAAGGAGGCGGAGCAGCCGAAGCCTTGAAAGCTTTGAACGGAGAATCCCCTTCAAGTCTAGACTTTAGCAGCACAGGAGAGCCCGACACGGAAGAGATTTTTGAGGCGGTCGCTAAACCGTTCCGGCCCCGCAGCTTATTGACGAGAGATGAGCGCATCGTCAAGATGAGAGAAGACCGGGAGAAACGAGAGATCGCCAAAGAAAAGGCGGATGCCAACAAAGGCATGCTCAAGGAACTTGAGATGGTCATCAACCTCCGACCCCGCCCACGAACCGGGACGAATCCATCACGCATTGTTTCGATGTGATGAGGATATGACATTTGATGACGGACGCGGCGTTCTGGTGCAGACGATTCAGCTAATCACAGTCATTTGAATCTTTGTTTTCCTTTTCTGTTACTGGTTTCTGATACATAATCTCTGCAAACACATTCACACACGGGATGCATATAGAAGGGGATTTCAGGGAACCCGGATGGGAGGTATCAATCGCTTCCAGTTAACCCATCTGTATTGTATAATGACACTCATGCCCAGCATGATATCTGGTGCAGACTCAGAGATCGGGCCAGATAACATGTTCAGACTACTTTTAGTATTACGAGCAAAAAAGTTAGTATCTACTGGAGAACAAAAAGCGAGAGAAACCAGTAGCCCAGTTGTTTGTTCTGTACTTTGTTTTGTTTACATCTTCACCAGCCACACAGGGTAGCAACAGCTCCAGTATTTTACGCCGTTTTTATTGCTATACCCAGCGGTTGCCATCCGGACTTTGGACAAAGAAGCCCGGTCGTCAGGGAGAAGAAAGGGGGAGCCACGATTCAGGGGTTTGGAGTATCAGCGTACACCCCTGGCAAAGTGGAGAGAGCTCGGTGAGCCCGGACCAGCTGCTATCTTGGGAGGGCAAAATGCGCCTGCCAGGCTGCTCGCTTGTCCTTCCATTCGGATGCGTAGGTGAACGGTGCACGAGCCATTCGTCAGCGATCAAAGACGGAGCGGACGCTGGCTGGCGTGCCTGTGAGTGAGTGTTCCCGCCTCCCCGCGCGTTGTTGGCGTTGAGCCCTATTAAACGCTTGACGCGTCGTTCCCTCGCCAGCCCACTACGACGCGCGACCGTGTTTGCCCATTAAAGTGCTTTCCGCGACAAGACCTTCCACCCTTCATCAACCCCTCAACCACAGACTTGACGATCTCAACTTTTGCAACAGCTCACCATCATCTCTGTGCCTTCCCTTCCGCTTCTTTAATACCCGAAGATACCCCTCTGCTCTTTTTCTTTTCACAAACATACAATCAGCCAGTACGTTGTACCGTCCACACCATTTTTCTTTCTTCAACAACTCTCCCAGTTTCTGATCCAAATGCATGACGCTGACATTTCGCAGAGATGTTGGAAGCCAGACTCGACCAGGCCGATATCCTGAAGAAGGTAATTCTTTCCTAATTTGGTTTGGTAGCCATGGCTGCTGGTTCTGTGACTAACCTGCCCAGGTCGTCGATGCCATCAAGGATCTCGTTCAGGACTGCAACTTCGACTGCAATGACTCCGGTATCATGCTCCAGGCCATGGACAACTCCCACGTTGCCTTGGTGTCCATGGCTCTCAAGGCCGAGGCTTTCTCTCCTTTCCGCTGCGACCGCAACATCGCGCTCGGCGTCAACCTCGGCTCCTTGACCAAGGTCCTTCGCGCCGCCCAAGGCGACGACATCTTGACGCTCAAGGCTGAGGATGCCCCCGACAGCCTGAACATCCTCTTCGAGAGCTCAGCCAACGACCGTATCAGCGAGTACGACCTCAAGTTGATGGACATTGACCAGGAGCACCTGGGCATTCCCGAGACGGACTACGCCTCCACAATCACCATGCCGAGCAGCGAATTCAGACGCATCTGCGCGGACTTGATCGCCATGAGCGAGTCGGGTAGGCAGCACTGTCCCCTCTATCCGATCTTTAGAAAATATAAAAACTAACTTCCTACCGTGTACAGTCACGATCGACGCGAGCAAAGACGGTGTCAAATTCGCTGCCAGCGGTGACATTGGCAATGGATCCGTCACCCTGCGAAGCCACACCAACGTGGACAAGCCCGAAAACAACGTGGACATTGAGCTCTCTGAGCCCGTCTCCCTGACCTTCTCTCTCAAGTACCTCGTCAACTTCTGCAAAGCCGCCGCAATTTCCAAGCAAGTCAAGATCTGTCTCTCCAACGAGGTACCGCTGCTTGTCGAGTACGCTCTGGCGGGCTCGAGCTACCTGCGCTTCTACCTGGCGCCGAAGGTAAGTCTAGTCTCTTTCTTGACGATCAATACCATCAAGACAAAAACCTAACGTGCATCCTAGATTGGTGACGAGGAGTAAATTGGCGATTGACGACGGAATGAAGTTGATATTGCTGGCGTTGCACGGGATCATGGACGGGGCAAAGGGCCTGTCCTTTTTCACTCTGGATTGAGTTTTGCATGTTCTAGAGTAGATACGCAATACGTTGGTGATGGAAGAGCAAAAAAGCACTTTTTGGGACCACGAAAGATAATGAAATTACTGTTTCCGCCTACCTCACACATGAAGCAATGGGTCCATGAATTCTGGTACCTCGTGTGCTCGCCATTCATCGAGTCCTTTACCAGATTCTCTCAATTGAAAGAGTGCGCCAGCTGATAGCAGCTGCAATGAGGCGAGCTGCCTTCCCGTCAGAGCTTTCCAATCTCGGGCTAGTGCGGGGTTCTTCGATGCGCCCTTTAGCTTTTTGGCGGGGTCGATTTTTTCCCTGGAAATGTCACGTCGGGTTGGGCGGACATCGGCCGTCGCAACGTCAGAGTCAGAGCAAGAGCCACAGCCAGAGCGGGAATTGCGAAGCTAACGAAGTGGAAGAACCTGGAACCGCATTACACCCGTTAAGATCCTTTCTAATCTCACTTAGTCACTCCCATCTGTCTGCTTCACACAAGACCAAGAGATATCTCCGGAATAGATAGACATCCGGGTAATTGCGCCGATACAGTACCTATTACTTTGCCCATACTTTTCTGATTTGCAACGCATCAGGTCGTTTATATCTGCATTTCTTCAACGCAACACTCCTTCTCATTGTCCAGCATCTGTAATTGTTCCGCGCATCGGCATCTTTCCCGATAAAGCATCCCGCCGATAACCGACTTTTGAGATCTGAGAAACTACGTACACACGCTTTCAGTAAAACATAGAGGATTTCACAACCACGTATTGTGAGCAAACATAGAATCTTGTCCCTGAGACGTCACAAGTCTCGCAACAGGATCATGACGGTGGAACTCCCGATCCCCGATACACGCGTCCTGGCCGTCGCCAGTCATGTAAGGCTTTTTCTTTGAGCTCTCGCAACTTTGACCGAGACGTGTAACTGACTGTCTGGTACAGGTTGTGTCCGGGTGAGTTCGTGCCGCGCCTCTTTCACAGGCGCCCCATGTGCGCCAGGCGTGCCGACAGGCAGAGTGGTGTATCGCGGGTCTGACAGCCTCCCGCAGAAATGTAGGAAACAAAATTGCCGTCTTCACACTGCAGTCCCTCGGCTGCGACGTCGCGGCTCTCAACACCGTCCAATTCAGTATGGCCTCCTCCTGCCACTCTGCCCCCCCTCTCCATGACTCACTTTCCCTTTCCCCTCAAGATTATAGGTATAGCTTTGCTAACACACTCTCTCTCAAAAAATAATAGGCAATCACACAGGGTACAGACAATGGAAGGGGACAAGAGTGTCCGCCCAGGAGATCCGGGACCTCTTTGAAGGGCTCAAGCAGTCGTACCTGGACGACTTTGACATGATGCTCTCGGGCTACATCCCCGGCGCCGAGGCCGTCGTGGCCGTGGGCGATATCGCAAAGGAGCTCAAGCGGAAGCAGGCCGCTGCGGGAACGCCGGGCGGCTTCTTCTGGGTCCTGGACCCCGTCATGGGCGACAACGGGAAGCTGTACGTCGCCGAGGAGGTAGTGCCCGCGTATCAGAGCCTCGTCGAGCACGCCGATTTGATTCTCCCCAACCAGTTTGAGGCCGAGTATGTTTTTTTCTATCCTCCCTTTGTCTCCTTCCCCCCCCTTCTTGTGTAAATGGTCAGATATCCGCGGCACCTCGGCGTCTACTCCTGCTTCCCGATAACAGAAACCTCATATGAAGGAGGAAACGTCCATCCCCCTCCTTCACACGCACAACAGAGACCAAAGACAAGAAGACTGACCCAGGAAAAACTAAGGCTCCTCTCGGGCGTCAAAATCACCGACATGCAGACGCTCCAAACCGCCATTCGCGCCCTGCACACAAAGTACCGCATCCCCCACGTCGTAATCACCTCCGTCTCCCTCACCTCACCCGACCACCCGCCCTCCCACCTCTCCGTCGTCGGCTCCAGCATGTCGCCCTCCACCGGCGAGCCGCGCCTCTTCAAGATTGTCTTCCCCGCCATCGACGCCTACTTCTCCGGCACGGGCGACATGTTTGCCGCCCTCATGACGGTGCGCATGCGCGAGGCCGTCATCGCCGCCAGCGCCAGCGCCAGCGCTCACAGAGAGGGTCAGCAGCAGCAGCTCAAGGACCGCGAATCCTGGCTCAGCGGCGACGAGGTTGACGCGCTGGATCTGCCTCTCGCCAAGGCGGCGGAGATGGTGCTGGCGAGCATGCACGAGGTCCTCACGCAGACGGCGCGCGGGATGCAGGAGGCCGTCGCGGCCGCCGGCGGGGATGCCTTGGCGGAGACGGAGGAAGGGAGGACGAAGCTTCACCTGCTCAAGAGCAAGAGCGCCGAGCTGAAGCTCGTGAGGAACCTTGCGAGCTTGCGGGAGCCGACTGTGGAGTTGAGGGCGCGGAGGTTGTAGGACCCCCGCCCCTTGGTGGATAGGGGGCTAGGGGTTTAGGAATTTAGGGGTTGTGGGAGGGGTTTCGAGTTTCTTTGGGACGGGTAGGAGAGAAAGAAAGACATATAGAGGTGTGTTTCGTTTTGGAGAGGCGCTTGTGTGTGGTGTTCTTTTGCTGTTTTCATAGATTTGCAAAGTAAGCGCGCTTGGGGAGATACATGTCACCTGCATGGAGAGACGGCGTGTGGACTAGGACTAGAAAAAGGCACATCATGGTGGCCGTAGCATTTATCATTATTCATCCATTTCCAGTTCTATAAGAAATCCACAACTTTTGTATCGTTCCCATGGTGATGTGATGGCGTCGATTGCTTCATCCTCGTGAGCCCAATCTCTTCTAAGCCATAACGCGAGGCCCCCAATAAATCCACCAAACGCTACCGTATCTACTGCGCAAGAGAGACGCCGGTGCTGCCGAACCCGCCAGCGCCGCGGACGCTCTCCTCGAGCTCGGCGACCTCGACAACCTCGGGAGTAAAGATGCGCTCGATAATGAGCTGGGCGATGCGGTCGCCCTCGGCGACCTCGAAGTCGGTGTCGGCGTGGTTGAAGAGGAGGACCTTGACCTGGCCGCGGTAGTCGGCGTCGATGACGCCGGCGCCGGTGTCGATGAAGTTCTTGGAGGCGAGGCCAGAGCGGGGAGCAACGCGGCCGTCTATAGTATACGAGAAAGTGTGGTCAGTACATCGCCATGACTACAATTGCTAAGGAAGGGGAAGCTCTTGGGGAGCTAGCTGTGAACAGTAGAGGTCTCAAACATACAGGTGCCAGCGGGAACAGAGATGGCAATATCGGTGTCGACCATGGCCTTGCCGCGGGCCGGGATGGTGGTGACCTTTGCGGCGTAGAGGTCGTAGCCGGCGGCGAACAAGCTGCCGCGGGTCGGCAGGCGAGCCTTGTCGGAGAGCTTCTTGATCTGGAGAGGCGGGCAGGGCTCCATGGCGGCGGGGACGGGGGCGTCGTTGGAGGAGGTCTTGACTCGCTTGGCGGGAGGATCAGACTGCTGCTGTTGTGCGGCGACGGGTTCAGAAGAGGTCATTTTGAGTTAAGAGAAATGTTAGGGGATGTAAAGACTATAGAGTAGAGTTTACCTTTTCGCCGTTGGAATCTTGGGCTAGAGCAAAGTGGGGAGTCAAATGCTGAGCGAGAGTCTGCTCCTCTGAATCGACAAGCTGGGTGCCTGCTCTGCTGGAGCTTTCCACCGCTGGGTTATCAGTGGGCACTCTGGCGGTGTCGCGCAAGACGCGTCAGGACGCGGCAGAGCAATTGACCAATCAAAACCGGAGGTGGCAATTGCCCATTCACGTATCAAGTACTCCGTACTTTGAAGAGGTCGTCGTCCGACATAAGGTAGCATGCAAGGGCATAAGCTACCTCATGGCATGGCAGAGTTCATACATCTTGCGATGATCTTTCTCTCAGAGGAGAATCAGATAGCCTCAGAGTGGCCCTGCGAACCCCTCTTGAAAGAAAGGCGCAAATCTCAAAAGTCTGTCGATTATCCGTTCTTAATTTTTGCATTGACGAGGGCCGAAGGAGATGCTTCAGACGCATGCTTCGCACGCCAAGGTGCCAACCTGGACACCAACTTTTCCCCCCCGTTTTACCCAGATCCGGAGGCAAGTGTAGAGTCAATCGCATACACTGTGATGCACTATCGAAAACGAGTGCGCACTGTGAACATCGGAGCCTCAGTTGCGCACTGCAATGGCCCCGGTGAGCCTATGAGAACTACGTGCCCTGAGTCAAGAGACTCGACGCTTAACAACAGGAGCTTTTCTCTGACATTGCAAGGCCCAGGGTAGACATGCTATCACGAAAAATTCATTTTGATTGCCTGGTTGGCCATCTCCACACGGGGGATCTGCGCCGACTGCGTCGCAGTTACACTCGCACGGATGTGCGGCAGATCAAGCCCTGCTAGTCGTCCAGCTCTCTTCCAAAATCAATGAGTTTGAGCCTCGTCGCGTCCCTAGGATGGAATTGCGCGACCTTGGACCTGACGAGGAATCGCGCCGCTGCTGTTTCCTTTGTGAGCTTGACGTATGCCGCAGTGCTGTCGCCAGCTGCTTCAGCATGTTGATTCAGAAGCTGTTCGGTAAGGTCGCGCATCTCACGACCAGCAGCCGCTGCTTCGTCCGCATTGCCTTTTTCCCGGCTGGCATCCTCTTGAGGTAACCCCCAAACTTCCTCGAGGCGTCGTTGTCGTTTATCCTCGTCCACGTTGGATTTGATTTTGACAGGTCGGCCCTGGGCGTTGAAACCAGCACCGAGTTGATCTGAATCAATTTCCATCATGTCGCCCACGACAGGTCCGCCGAGATCTTCCGCAGCTAGTTGACCTCCCAGGTGACCGTCAATGAAGTTTCTCAGAGCTTTAAGTAGCTTAGTTGTCTCCTTGTCGTAACGCTTCTTCTTTTGCCTCAGTTCATCCAGTCTTTTCTTGGCTGCCTGTTCGGGCGTCAATTCCATCCTAGATTCGGCCTCGTCTTTGAGAGACAGAACTCGCTTTTCCAAACTCTGCTGGAGGATCTTCTGGTCAGACAAATTCGCCTGCTCAACTTCGAGCCTGCGTTTGGTCTGATCAAAAATGGCTCCTTGACTAGTCAGATAGACTTGGGACTCAACAACGGTCTGATGAGTCGTTCGCAAGGCTAGTAGCGCGGGTAGAACGGATTCCGAGAAAGGTACGAAGGGAGGCGTGCTGGCAACTTGCTCGAACGCGCCTTTCATGACTTCATAAGATGCTCTCCCTGGTCCAGAAACATTCTGGCTTAAGTTGGCATTTCGTTGGAGCTGTTCCCGTATTAACTTGTAGAACTCAAGAAGCATAAACGAGGATGCATACTGCGGCAAGCTCTTCCCGGTGTTGCTCAATCTTTTCTTGGAGTTCTTGCAAGCTCTGATCCAGGCTCAAGGTGTACCTATCGCTGAGAGGGCGGGGTGATTCGTCCATCTTGTGCTGGAAGTGGTCGCTCAAGGTGAGAGGCTGCTGTGTGTTGTTGTATGTACTTGATCCAGGCCAAACAATCTGATATTTTGGCGACACGGTGCAAATATTAGATTCAATGGCGCACGCGACCTCGAGAGGGTTTCCCGGAGGAAACGAAACACTTCAAGCAACGGCAGCATGCGCAGGTCTTCGATCCGTTCTAGAGCTCACGGCCCGTCGGAGCAATGGGCACGTCCAATGGTGTCGAGCGTCTGATTCGATCCTTGTCAGGAAAAATAAGGCGTGTTCGGGCGCTAGATCGTCTCTGCTTGTTTCATACGAGGTGTCACTGTGTGTCGGACGCTATCAAGATTTCCGGGGGCGCAGACAGTCCGCGACTTGCACAGATGATGGCTCTGTCTTGGCTGTCAAGCAGTCTGGCGCGCTGTCAGTCGCAATTCCTGACTCGGTAGAGTGGGTTAAAGAAGAAATTGTTCTAGTCGTCGGTAGGGCTCTGGCTGCTCGTAATGATGAGACTGGAAGCGATTGGGAAACTTGTTGAAAAGCAACCGATGCCTATATCTCTCTCTCACATGGACGAGACGTGACGTGACGTTGTGCCGGTTCGGTTTGTGTACTCTGTAATACCCCGTACGGAGTATGGTGTGCAGCAGGTGTGTTGGTGAACTTGGTGCCTATGGGAGCATCCCCTTGCATAGAAAACAATGCAGAGCACCGCGTTGGAGGCCGGGGCGGTTGCAAGGCGCAAGGCGCAGCTTTCCATTTCCCTCCCGCACCTTTTTCCTTTGGTCAATTAGTCTGCGGGAGATGTGCGGAGGAAATGCACACGAAATGGCAAACACTGTGCGGCTCGCTGCATGGATCTGCCCAATGAAACATCCAATCCCCAGCATAGGTAGGTAGGTGGGAAGGCACACAGGTATCCGTACTTACCTACTTGCAGGTACGGCTTGAGGTAAGAGTACCAGGAGGACCAGCTGGCTACCTTGCGCACGCTGTGGAAGGTACGTTAGGCACCTCCGGAGCGGGGGCCACCTTCTCCCCCATGTTGCTTAATCTGCCGGAAAGGTATCATCTTTCACTGTGTGGATACCTGTTTTTCTCTGGCTCAGAGTGGAGACTTCTCAGGCAAGGCCGCAAATGAGGCAAAGGCACTGGCTGCGTCAATGTGGAGACCGTGCATCGATTTCAAGCACTGTACTGGCCCTTGCCCCCAGGCGGGCACTGATGGGCTCCTGGCATTGGCGCCGCGCTGGCACTTGCGCTGCTTGTTCTGAGGAGAAAGCGTGAGAATATCTTGCCTTCCCATCCCGTTTCTCAAACCTCTTCGAGACATCCGGAGCCCCCTTCCAACCCATCTGTTTGCCCTGCACGGTTTTCTCTCCCCATCTCTTTTAATCACCGACTCGCCTCTTCGTCTCTGTCCCCGTTTGTCGAAAGCTCTTGGTGGGTTGTGTTTTTCCAACGGCGCAGCGCATCGGTACCCAGTTTCGCTTCCCTCTCACGTGTCGCCTCCAAAAGCTATCCAGGTCCAACTACTCTGGCTAAACGGTCGGCGCGTTGCCATCATCGTTTCGTTGCTTAGCAGCTCGACAAGCTTCAAGGAGACAAGGGACATTCCGCAAGGAAACATCAAAGCTCTGCTTGCAGACTTGACACCACGTCGCGATACATCGCAGCTTGGACTGTTCGTTTGACGGAAGAAAGGTTTGAGCTTCTGCATCCGAATCGCCTCCCAGATACAACCATTGTCTATCATCAGCTCCTTCCCTCCCACCTTCTTTACCTCTTTTCCATCATCCACCTTCTTCCTGCCCGTCCGCTGCCTCATCGCCCAGCCTCGCCTTCCCTCCGCTTGACCTGAGTATCTTTGCGATTCTCACGATTTCGGAAGTCACCTCGAACCTGATAGGATAGGAGTCATCCTGAACCCACATCCCGATCTTTCAACTTCACGATCTCTGCCTGCCCTACGACCTTTATCCTGCACGATCAAAGCCACTTCACCGAAGAGACATTCTCTGAACCCGATCCCGACTACGCCACTACACCAGCCCGTTTTCCTTTGAAAACCGTTGTGGTGTAGATAGTCGAATACAAATAAGCTCTTCTTGAACATACACGGAATTGCGAAAACTTGTGTGAGACATTAACAACTAGCCCATCATGTCCGCGTCGCCTACCCAACCTGCCAACTCGGCCAAGCGTCCCCTCGAGGAGACCTCGTCTCCTTCGCGTAGCAACGACCAGCCCGACGCGAAGCGACCAGCCTTGGACAAGATACTGAAGAGTGATGAGGAGGTTGAGATGGCGCAGCCGCTCGACGCAACTACCATCCCATCCGCGGATGCGAACGGTGCCGACAAGACCAACGGCGCTGATACAAAGTCTGAGGCTGGTGACGAAGGCGCTGAAGGTTCCGAGACGAAGCCTATCCAGAGCTCCGTTGCCGGCTCCGTTCCCGCGACGTCCACGCCCTCGGCAAGTCACGATGAGAGAGATTGGATTCACATTCGCGCGGTCATCTCCAGCCCGGAAGCTGCCACTGTCATTGGGAAGGGTGGAGAAAATGTGTCAAACATTCGCAAGATGTCGGGTGCCAAGTGCACCGTCAGCGATTACCAGAAGGGTGCCGTTGAGCGCATCTTGACCGTCAGCGGCGTTGTCGATGCTGCTGCAAAGGTTTGTAATTGAATCACTCTTGCCCAGAGGGGTCCCAGCTAACCCAGTCGAATAGGCCTTCGGTCTCATCATTCGGACTCTCAACAATGAGCCTATGGCCGAGCCATCCAGCGCCCAGTCAAAGACGTATCCTCTGCGCCTGCTCATCCCTCACATCTTGATCGGTTCCATCATCGGAAAGGGCGGAGCTCGTATCCGCGAGATCCAGGAGGCTTCCGGTGCAAGGCTTAACGCGTCCGACTCCTGCCTGCCTCTGTCGACCGAGCGTTCGCTGGTGGTAATGGGTGTTGCTGACGCGGTTCACATCGCTACGTACTACGTCGGCAGCACCCTGCTAGAGCAGCTGAACGACCGGTTCGGCGGCCCTGCTGCCTCCGCGTATGCGACAAGGAGTGGTGGCCCTGCTGGCGTTGTCCCTGGCGGCATGCAAGTCGTCCCGTACAGCCCACAGCCAACCACTGGCAACTACGGTAACCGTGATAACTACAACCGCAGACACGACGCTCGCGCCCAACATCACGGCTTGCCAGCTGCTCCGTACGGCGCGCAGCCGTACCCTCACCAGGCAGCCCAGCCCAACCCGGCCATGCCTATTCACTACGGTGCAGCGCAGGCTGGCGGCTATGGCGCCGCTGCTCCTATGCAACCCCACGCCGGTGCTGCCATGCCTCAACCTCACGGCGCTCACCCGGCTCAGCCCGTTCACGGAGGAGCCATGCCGGGCGCGCCTTTGACCCAGCAGATCTACATCCCCAACGATATGGTTGGCGCCATCATCGGAAAGGGCGGGCAAAAGATCAACGAAATACGCCAGATCAGCGGTAGTGTGATTAAGATCAACGAGCCGCAAGACAACAGCAACGAACGGCTGGTCACAATCACGGGCACAGAGGAGTGCAACAGGATGGCGCTTTACATGCTCTACTCTCGTCTTGGTAAGCAGATTGAGGACGAGGTCAGCCGGGTCGAGCAAGAGTGCTAACAAGTGCAACAGAATCGGAAAAACACCGGATCTAACGTTGACGACGTTCATGACTTTACTGACTATCAAATTTTAGTTCGGCAAACCAAAATTTCGGGCGGAATGGCACAGTTTCTTTTCTTTTGCGAAACATCATCGCCGTGTTTGGGGGATATCGGATTGGTCTCCAGCGACATCTACGCCGCGAGACCCCGGCTACATCTGGAAAGGGGGACTGGTCTCGATCAGCTTCGGCGGATCAAAGGTGCTTTTAGAGGAGGTACTACTTTTAATAGTGCACTACTCTCTTTTACTTCATCTATTCTCCAGCACATCTTGACTCCCTGCCCACTCTCATCACTATCACCGTCGCGCGCCCCATCGGTCGCCGCCCTGTCCGGCCCTGCTTGTCGTCCTATCACCCTCACTCACACAGCCCTGACGGTTATGACAGCCTTGACCCCTAGAATCTCGTGACCCGTTCCCCAACATCGCCCTGATCAAATCTATCACATACATTCGTGCACTCAGCCCTACTACATTCTCTGTACCTGCCGTATGACACGCGCACATATCTCGTCTTGTTGAGGCGCAGATCGACTCTTTTCCTTGCCCGCGCCTTGGCGGAGGAGACGAGGTCACCATGGACGCTGATAGTTTGGCCTCGCGAGAATGAGATTGCTAATTGATTTCCACTAGGTATCGGACGAAGGCGACAGTGACAAAGTTTGCGAGCCGGAAGCTGAGTCCCATCCACAACTCGGAATCCATGGGCTGGACGTAGGAGACGGTAAGCGTTGATGATCGACTTGCACGTGCTGATGACGTGCAGCAATCCTGCCTCGGATCTGAAGAAACCGCACAAGTTTGCACACAGGATATTGTATTGACGGATAGTGGTTGGGGCACAAAAGTATATTACACATCTCGTCTCATCATAATCCCATTATAAAGGTACAGTACGTAATTGTAGTCATCCCATCCTCGTAGCTTTCTTCTTCCAAGGAATAAACTTTTACATGGCACTAGCATTATGTACCTTATATTCGGTCCTCAGATTTGCTTTAGATTCACGTGATACTGTTCATCGTCAGTCGAGTGATACACGCAAGTAAAGAGATGTCAATGGCTTCAACAACGTACCATGGAAATGTCTTTGCGGCCTGACCTCAGCAAGTGAATGTTATCAGAGATGGCTGTAAACACACCCAGTCAGCTTTCTCGCTAGAGCATGTGCGGGAAACCCCCTCCCAGCGGGGTGTTAACGTGACCAAACTTACGTCCAGCCTTGGCTTTGGCGTCAAGGTGAGCCTGCTGACTATCCCATCCCAACAAGAGCGTCACAGCAGGGCCCTTCTCCCCGTCCCCGCCTCCAGAGGCGGCGTCCACGGCAAGCGGCGTCGAGATCTCGCCGTACGCGTGCCCGTGATACCCGGCGACGCTCGCCCGCCCCTCCGCCAACCCTTTTGCAATCTCGGCCGTCTTGCCCGCGAAGTCGGGCTCGACGCCGTACGCGACAAAGACCTCTGTGCACGGCGCGCGCAGGACCACGGACGGCGAGTCCTGGTTCGCGGAGAGAAGGGGAACCTTGTAGAAGACGGGCGAGGAGGAGGCGGCGGCGGAGACGACGGCTTTGAGGGAGGCGAACCAGGGCATGTAGGCCTCGGACGAGGCAAAGGCGGAGAAGGCGTCCGGGGAGGCCCACTCGATGACCAGGACTGTTTTGGACGGGTCCTCGAGCTGGGTGCCCGTGTAGAGGGCGTTTACGCCGGGGACGGATTTCAGAGTCGAGGTTACGTCGGACCAGGCTGCGGGCGGTTGGGAGGGGGGCGATGTGCTGTGGTTTTTGAAGGTGAAGGTTATGAATTCTGTGATTGGGGTGGAGTAGGCCATTGTTTGTGATCCGGTTGACTTTGGAAAATGCAGGATGATTGGGATGAGTGGTGGAGATGGAAGGTACGTGAGGTATGTGAGGTGGGTAGCAGGTCCTGGAAGACACTTCGGATGTATAAGTGCTTCCCGGGGGTTCGGGTGGGACTTTATATATTGGACAGTTTTGATGCTATTCACGACTCTGGGGTTTCCTGCGATCAACAAGTGATCGACTTCTTCACGTAGTACGAGCACCTTCTACAAGGTTCTACATTCGAGGCGGGACGTTGCACTTCCATTCGGCCGCATCGGGATGTATAGGTCACGTGGTGTGGTTTACTCCGCACCACAGGGCGAAGCTTCTGGTGACACAAGTCTCTAGGTTTGCGAATGTCGCAAGCCACATTGCGGCATGTCTTCTGCCGGTTCCTCAAGCCCGGTAGGTGTCCATGTTCTCTCCCAAGGGCGCAATAGGAGTTGAGAAAGACACGCCCATAGGCTTTTATCGGGTCGCTGAAGAAATAGAGGCGGAAGTCGAAATGACGACCGGGGAGGCCATGCATCGGGCTCCGCACCGGTAGAGGCCGGGCGGTCCCACTCCCGCCCGCTCCAGTCCCACGGAACGTCCGCCCAGAGACGGCGGTGATGAAGTTCAGGCGCGTGACCAACCTAGATGATCCTAAGCGGCACTTGCCCCCAAGCGCATTCTTCGTGCAGATGATGACATCAAAACCTAAGAATGAGAAAAAAACACTCCAAATCTGATCATGGCTTGACGCTAGTAATAGCGCACCTTTCTATGAGAAGGGCATTCCAACGGTCGAGACCCGGCTCAGAACTTGTCTGGCCTTGAAACCACGAAAGGGTGAGGCACAGGAATGCGGCGATTCCGACGATTGCTTCTCCCCCATCGGCAGTGGGCTGGCTGGCTGGCTTGCGCTTTCCTCACGTGGAGGCGGGAGAAAGTACCGTGCTTGCCCAGGCGCGCCCAGGTTTGCTGGATGCCCTCTTTCGGGCATCGCAAGTTGGCTTAGGGCTGAGGTGAAATCAATAAAAGGCTTTTTGGTGTGGCTTTTGGTGTCGCAGCCAGTTTCTTAACCTGCAGGAAGCTGACAAGGTTGACTCGTGTTGACCACGATGCAACACACTTCCTCACCGTCACTCGGGAGTCACTAAATGACAAGCAACGTTGTGCGAGAGCCTCAGCATCGTGGCACCACTACACGCAAGCGAAGCTTGCTCGCCAGCACTTCCTGCATTGTCGCGGGAAAACAACGACAGGCAGTCCTCGACCACACTACCTGGAATGCGAAAAGGCGGCCTCGTGACACCAGATCTCGCAGTGAGCGCCATCGCTGTGCCACTTGACTGCATGTAGCCGAAAAACCAGTGGTCCGTCCTCGGCCGTACTCGGGCTGCTAGGCACGCTGACTGCATCGTAGAGTTGCAGAGAAAAAGCAACTCGTCAACGGCTGTCGAGCGTGCAACAAGGACCACAATTTGGCATGCGTTTTCCAGGTCTGGGTGTCTTTGAAAATGGCCTCAGTTAGATATGTACGAGCCCACCTTTGCAGAGACTATTTCTGTCGCTCTCGAATTTGCTGTCATTGGCCCATGACGTCGCTTGAATGTAGTGGCAGGTCAAGGGGCTTCTCGGCTTCAGATGTCCTGCCAGTCAATGCCTCCATAACTTGGCAACCACGGTTTGCGACTCATTGCGGATGAGTATCGCTTGCTGGGTCGGTGACTGACTGACTATGGGTAATAGAGTTTGGTGTTGAAACTCTGACAAGGGACGCAAGCGATGGGGACCTTGCTGACGGCCGACCCGACGCGTCGGACGAGTCGTTCCTTGGGTCCAAAATTGGGTTGTGGCAGTGGTGAATGCAGAACATCGGATTATGCAGAGACGGGGCGGAAGACTGCAAGTTGAAAGTCATTGCGAGGGCTGAGTTGCGTAATTGAGCCATCATACGAGGTGTCGTCGAAGAGATGGTGTTTTCGCGAAGCTACGAGATAACCGAGTTCAACTCGCACGAAGCTGAGGCTCAGTCCTCTAATCCGTTCTGCTTTCAGGATGCCCCAGGCCCACGATGTACTCACATTTCGCATACAAGGGTGTGAGTCGTCATCGACGTGGAAATGGGTATCTCCAGACTTCAAGTGGTGCGAGCAGGGGTTGAAAAGCAAATGCCAGCGGGGAGACTGTCTTGTGTTCCGTGATTGCGATATCTCACATGCGGAGTATGCGTAGAATCTTCGACAAGTAATTGTTCTGGTTGGATCCGCTTCATCTGTGATATGAATTAACTCGCAAGGCCAGTTTAAGGTGGCGACGGGTTTCCAGCTGCAAGATGGGTCAGTCGGACACATTATTGATTCGATTTTTTTCGCCGGATTGTGAGTATGCTCTCGCTTGGCAGCTAGTGTCGCTCCTTCGTGTGGTTCTGGAAGGGCCGAGGACACAAAAGATCCTTTTGTGCATGATGTATCGTCACTTCGGGCCCTTGGAGGGGATCTCCAACGTCTCTGCCCCTGGCTGACTACTAGAGCATGTAGCACAGACTAGAGGATGCGGCATGGCAAATTTAAGTGGCCGCTTTGACGCCAGGCCGACGGTAGTCCGCCGTCTAGCACTGCGGTGAAAAGGAGACGGATGAGAGACGGACTGGTGCCAGGTGGATAGCATAGGTGTAGGCGAAAGCTGAAGGATGGAGAGTTGGCGGCAGCGGCTGGTGCCAAGTTAGGCGGTCCTATGAACCGTTTCTTCGTTCCTTGCAGTGACCGTGTCTGCGCCTGGTCGGTACGTACCGGCGAAGAGATGTGACGGAGCAATCAGCAGTGTCTATTTCCAGATCCCCGTTAAGGTAACTAATTAGCTTAAACGCTCTCTTGTCAGTAAATGGAACATGCTGTAGCATAACGTCGCATCATCTGAGCCATGTGTGGGCTCATCGGAGCGAGACACCACCAACAATGACAGCTGGAAATTGGATAATAATGAGTTTTCATGGCAGCATGGCAGGTTTGTTGACTGCATCCGTACGGATAGATGGCTGGGGAAATTCCTTCCAGGGGCGAGACCGCCAGAGCATAGAGAGAGAGAGGTATGGGTGAAGCTACCTACCTTGTAGGGTCGATTTAGCGGT